ATTTCTGAAAATCCAATAAAAAAATGTTCACAGATATAAATGATAAATTGATGCAATAACAGGATTTGCCTGTAACCAAAAATATTCGATTAGCATTTAACGCCATCTAGCGGAAAATATCGCAACTAATGTTACTGATAAATAATTTAATAATTAGGCTATATTTTAAGTTTATTATCGTAAATTTTTATGTAAAAGTTAAATGTTTCATAAGTTTGGTTAAATACTTTTCATATTAATGAATCAATGAATATCCTAAAGAAAAATGTTCAGATTTTTAAAACACAAGCTAAAAGCTTTACACGATTTCCCGAATCTTCAAAAAGAGTCGAGATTTCGGCTATGATATCTTAGACGCGTTTTAATATAATTCCAGTCTAAAGTTTAGTCCAACTCTGCTATTGTCTCGAAATTATATTACATAGTAATATTTAACTCTGTTTGGACTTAATACAATCCCTTATTTGTAAAAAATGTTTTGAACAAATCTAGTAATATCAAATCAACTGAAGATTTCGACTTGTATATAGAACACCGTAAGGCAATTGGAGCATACAATTTTTCATTTAGTTAGTTGATTCATTAAAGAAACAAATTTTAACAAAGAATAACTCAATCTCGATTGCATGTGTAATACAATGCTCTTTTTTTCATACAATCTAAATCTATCTAAATGCACCGTTTTAACTAATGTAGTTGTCACTTTTCATCACTGCGTAAACACAATTTGACAGAAAGAGCCAAAAGATTACTGTTGAAACTTAAAAAAATAACAAGTCAACGCATTTTAAACCGAGTCAGTCGGGCAATAAATGTCACAGACATTAGGAATGTGCTCGCAACCCGTTATCGATACTAGGATGATGTCGATGCTTCTAAGTATATTAAGACCACCACCACCTCTGATAATTAACCTACCGGAAGATGACACAGGTGAGGACGAGACGGATGAGATTTTTGATGAACTAAGAAATATCCCTAGAAAAGATAAAAACGGGCCACATAACGATCTATACAGTTTCTCTATGATTACGTCAAAACAAACATTTTATCTTACAAATTAAAAAGAATATTTTCAAACAGCGAAAAATTATTCCTATTAATACTTAACATAAATCGATCGTACCTACTCCGTTATCGATATGCACCTCTACAATTATTACGCACATCTTTTCACCTCTTCATAAAACCTGTATATACCTCCATAAGACCGAGCGAGACAGACATATATTATTTATGACCCGAAGCCTCAGTTTGCGTCGACTATAGTGAAATTAATGACCTTACATCTCTCATAAATGTAATTGCAATGATGCTTAGAACAAATAAAATAGGCAGTAAATGTAAATTTAGGCATTTAATTTTTTTTTGACATTCGTACAAATAAGTTACCTACATATAAAATATATTTTTACTTTTAATTCTAGTACAAATAAGGTATTTTATTGGATGAAGTTCTGATTTGGCCTAAAATAAGGACTAGGAACAAATGATGCACGCAGTGGTTTTCATTAATCACCGGTTGATACTATATATTATGTATAATGCCGATTTAGAGGATTTTATTAAGTATTTAATCAACAATTGTTGCCGTGTTTCCTAATAATTTTTAAATTAAATCATTTTATCAAAGTTTAAATGTGTTTTAAGTAACACAACTGAATTTAATGAGATTATCGTTTATAAGTACGGAGATTTATTAGCCACTTAAAATTAGCATCAGTCAAAATAGGAGTTTTAATGCAAAATAGCAGTTTGGAATATTTTTACATTTAATTCATGTATCTTTCATCTTTCAGTGTACTAGAACTGTATAAGTGACACCTCAGCGTAAGTTTCGTCCTCAGAAGAATGACCGGAAAATAACTGGCCACTCTTCTCTCTGAGTCAGTATCTGTAAAAACATTTTTTTTAAATTAGAAAAATTTAATTGTGCATACTTAAAAACTGATTTTGATGAAAATTTGGCTGTTCCCCTAGTTCCTCGGACTACCATTCTAATAAAATAATCCTAAATAGATCATCATACTCAAATAACTTTTCCATTTTTCGATTTCGTTATCACTTTCAATATAACAGAAACGAGAACACATGTAATTGATTTTGTTTTATTTGCTTATTAAAGTTTCACACAATACATGGTACTAAATCTACGGTATATGTTACAAACTCTTTTATCTTAAATGCATGACAATTTAGGTAAACATAAATGTTACAAAAAAATTTAAAAAATATTATTATAATATATAGAAAAAAAATACCAGAAATTTTGGTTAAACACAAAAAAAATTACCAGGAAAACAGCGGATTAGGTTTGAGATAGGCACTTAAGAATGCTTTCTTTAAAATTGATCAGCCCACTACCGAATATATACCGCTCCGGATAAGCAGTCTTTAATCCGTTAAAATCGCGAAAAATTAGAAAAAGAGGTTCCTGAACTGATGTTGGTTTGTCCAGAAGGAATTTGGAAAATTTTGCTGATTTTAGACCTTGGGAAGAGTAAGGGACGACAATTATATTAATAAACTAGCTGACCCGGTAAACGATGTTTTGCCATGTATATTATTTATAGGAAACATTTTTTTAGTTCAAAAAAAAATAACTACTATAATAAAAAATAGGGGTTAATCGTAGATAATTTAGGGTTGTATGTATTTTTTAATGGCACATAATAAAAAATATAAAATTAAAATTTCGTCCAAAAAATAAAATGTTAGGGGTGAACAATAGGGTGGGTCAAAAATTTTTTTTTTAAGTAATCGATTTCTAATAGCGAAAATATGTTGTAGTTAGGTATTGTTATAAACCGTTTAAAATATTATTTTAAGTGGAACAGCCCGCGCAACGCCCTCGAAGTTTTGAAAAAAAATAGCTCAGGTACCCACTTTTACACCTTAAGTTACACGTTTGACGTTGGGTATAGTTTAATGTTTTAATAAGTATCCATTAAAATACACATTACTTTTCTTATATAAACTGTGTTATTTATTAAAAGAAGATTTTTTGAGGTAAGTACATTCAGAGAATTTATGTATCAATGTGGCTAGTTTCTAGTGAAATGTTGCGAAATTGTAAACTATGTATTTTTTCTTAAGAACTTGGAAATCAAATTTTTCTATCATGTCAAATAATAGACAGTCTTACAAGTGCCCTATATATTAAGAACTATAGAAGATATAAAAGAAATCGTGTTATCAATATACCAGGATATCATGAAATGTTACGAGTGGATAGACTACAGAAAGTTAAAAATAGCAGTAAATAAGAGCCTGCGTTTTCCGAAATTGCAGAAATTGAAGGAGAAAAGGCATCAATCCCTGTAGCCTCGCATACAACAGTCATTCAGCTCCTGAAAGCATTACAAGGAACTGCAAAGGCCATTGAGGTATAAACGCTTTTCTTTTCGCCAAAAATATAAGTACTGTTGACCTGGCTATTGGATGCCATAGAACAGTAACAAATACAGGTAAATTTAGTAGTGTCATAATGTTATTTGAAAAAAGACTTCAGAGACCTTTGCAATGGATAATTTTCTTGCTGCATTGAAATGAACTGCCCTTGAGGCATTTGTTTGATTATATGGATGGTAAAACTTCTGGTCCATCTACGTACAATGGTCCTATTGGTTTGTTGCTGGATAAGTGTGAAACGCAAGTTGTAGTTGAATTGGAGTCAATACCAGGTCAAAACCTGATGACTTAAGCACAGACCAAAAGTATTTGTATACCTTAGCAGTAATTACTGGAAGAACTTAGCAAATAAATCACCTGGATAAATATCACATGCTCGTTGGTTGACTAAGGCAAATCGGATCTTGCGGCTTTACATTTCTACACCAACGCCATCAACTAATTTTATAATTTTGGCCCAATACATTGTAAAAGTATATGCCCCCGAGTGATTCCAAATAAAGACACACTCATCATACAAAGACGGATCACGGCACCTCTGGACATTGATTAAATGTTCGCGACTTTTATCAAGTGCATTAAAAGCAGTCCTAGATCCTATTATTCAACGAAACACATATTTGTCCACTCTAAAAATCTACTATTAGCGATGTTAACAGATAAAGAAAAGCATATAAGAGAACTTGCAGCTAGAAGAATTCTAAAAGTAGTTCATCTACAACGGGAAAACTACCACGCACTTTTGAAGTTCCTAAGCTTAATTTTGATGCTAACTGGCCAGAAACCAACTTTCATCCACCTATTCTAAGAAATCAAACTAATGACGAACTTATTCAGATAATGGAGAAAAAGGTGACGAAAGGATGTTGTTTATTAGGCTACCTTGCCATATACTGGCGGTTGAACCAAGTGTAAAGATAATGACTGAAGCTGCAATGTCGGCATGTGATCGGAAGTGAAACTCACTTCAAGGAAAGTTATGGCGAAATTCAATAGTAGGCGAGATTTTTTGTATAAAAATAGATAATTTTTTGATAACCTTTATGTGTATTTGTTTAAGTGTTTTGTTTTAAACGTGAATATACGTCTTTCACTAAATATTTGTAATGTTTCAATAGTATTTTAAGTTATTTCTAATAAAGAACTATAGTATTTAGTAATACATGTTTTTCTCAAAAACTAATAACTTTGAAGCTCATGCGCGGGCTGAAGATGTATGTTTTATTATCCGTTTTTTAGCTAAACATACTTTTTATAGTACACTACAACATAATATTACTATTAGAATTTGATTTATCAACTTTTATTTTTTTCCTAACTAGAGTGACCCACCCTAGTGAACAACCCTTATCACTCAGGGGTATTAAAAATACATAGTAGCCGATTCTCAGACCTACTGAAAATGCATAAAAAATTTGATAAAAATCGGTCGAGCCGTTTCGGAGGAGTATGGGAACGAACATTGTGACACGAGAATTTTATATATTAGACATTAATATCCTGTAAGAGTATTTTTATTTATGGTAAATTATAATTAAAATTGAAAATTATGTCATAACAAGATAAATCATACACATATACATTTCTAGTTACCTTCTATAATTGTCATTTTGTTCGGAGTCTGCGTAAGGCGCCCAATGGGACGGCGATGATTCAATCTGCGCGCGTTCACTGTTACTCGTGCCTAAAAGATTATTATATCATCAATATTTATTATTTAGCTCTGCTGTTTCATCTGGGTAATTTGCTCGTAAACGTATGCTGTATATACTCAATAATTGGACTTTTGTGCTGGACAAGAATATATTCAAGGCTTCATCAAGCAAACGTAAATTAATCAATAAGGAATTTTATAAGTCTGAGTTTGAAATAATCTTAGGAAAGTCTTAAAAGGAACAAATTTTTCAGTTTTTTTCAACTTTTTTATATGGTCCATCGTCCGCGCCTATTGATTTTTATACAGTCTGTATTTTTACTGAAGTATCTTTTGGTCACCAATAAGTTTCTAGCCGTACATTTATGTCTTTGGCGCATTTTAATTTTACTTATCTGTGGCAGCGGCCATTTTGCGCATTTGCCGCCATTCATACATTGACATTGACAAAGTGTGACATGTACAAAAAATATATGTTCATAATTTATTAATTTGAAACAAAAATCAAAACTCAATCAAATGTCTTCTGCCACAAATAACTTACAATGTTCCGGTGAGACGCTCCTAGTATCGGTGGTGCGAGGCTGCGGAGACCCCGCTGCGGGGGGCGAAGGGCTATCTAGCGAGATGACGCCACCACTGTTACTCGGGGATCGGTAACCGCTTGATGATACCGCATCGGGACCTATAAGAATAAGAAATTTTTAATAAAACAGACAGTTCATCATAAAGATTTTATTTATTTATATAAATGTTTACTTATTCAACCTCAATGGTTTTAATTAATAAAAATACTAAATAATGTAATACTCGTGAAAAATATTACCATTATTAGTATTATAGTTTTCTTCTTTCGGAGTCTGATCAGCTATAGGAGGAGTGGACTTTGGTACTGGAGTCTTTCTTTTCAAAGGCAGTTCATCTTCAGAGTCGGAGGTGAGATCTACCAGGACTTCAGTGGGCTTTGGAGTTCGATTTTCTCCTACCGCTGCTTTCTTTGCTGCATTGTTGCCCTCTATCGGTATCACTTCTATAAAACAAATATTTGATGGGCTATTTTGACATTTTTCTCGAAAAATTACTAGCAAGTAGTATTTATCAACGCAAATAGAAATGAAATTCCGTTCGCACACAGCCTCGATAGAGAGGTTACCTTGAGATTCAGATTTACAACTTAGACAACACAATTTTGACATGTGCGAGTCACACTTAGCGCTAAATTTCTAAACCTTCGCCTTATTTATTTATAGTCTACTGTCTATTGTTGCCTAACTTTGTTTAAAATAAAAATAATATAAATTTAACTAAAAAAGGCAACAACTTTGACCTGTATTTGATATTGTTGGAATTACATAAATATTTGAGCATTGCTTTATTGTTAATTGTCACAATCTCCGTTTAAGAACTGTCAAAGATTAAAAAATGATTTGACAGTTCTTGAATTACATTTAAGTTTTACTGTTTCAAGTAGCCTTAATATTATTATTAAACCTCACCTAACTCGTCCGGTATGAGAGTGACAGGCTCCGCGACAGGGGCCACCTGCTGCACTCGTGGAGGAGGGGAATGCGCCGACCAGCTCCCGTCTGCCAGGAGTTGGATCTCATTGCAGTCAGTAGCTAAGCGGGGAGAGGTCAGAACCTCTTGGAAGTACCTGCCATTTACATTGTCTCTTTTAATTTGGACCAAAATCGTTTATAACAAAATACATCGTATGTGGACACGACAAGTAATTTACTCTAGCCAATTAAGTTTGTGGTTAAATGGCCATCATGATAATAAAAAAAAACTATCTCTCATTATATTAATGACTATAAAACCAATAGTTTGTATTGGTTCTATAGTCAATATAGGTTATTTTTAATTCTAAAATAAATAGTTCCAAAAACCCGCCAAAACTCTAGGTAAAATGGCGTCGCACCAGTCCCTATAACGTGCCATGTTTTAAAAAAATATTTTTTACGTATTAATTGTCATCCTGCAATGTGTGTTACACAATATTATATTTCGATCAAATGCTGTTTCTGGCGACGTTTATCTCCAAGACTATATTAGGATTAGACAGGCGAAGACGTATTATTTACAAGCATGTTGCGTCGCCTTTGTTTCGACTGATAAAAACACGTGTCACGTGACTGACAAATTAATGATTATAAATAGGGATGCATCCGATACCGATATATCGGCGATACTTTGGGTTTGCCGATATATCAGCATCGGCGATATTTTCATTGCCGATTCACCGATACTTTTCAAATTTCACGCTTTAAAAAAATAATGTAAACGCACATTTTGTATGATCTAGTTTGTTGCAAACGAGCCACGGACTATTGTTGCCCGAGAAATCCCCGCGTTTTATTCAGTTTTTTGTCTGTATCATTCGCTTGGAACATGATGGAATATAAGAGATGGAGAACATGAGCATCACGTCGCTGACGAGTGGGTAACCAGCCTAGCCGCTTACGGAACGCAGAGATATTATGGTCGTACTTTCTTAGACCGAATATAATCGGATACAGAAATTTTGGAGACGATCCAGTTTATTTAGCAACTCCTCGTTTAGATCATAAGAGCAAGAATCGGCATAGTCCAGTAATGGCAGGAAGCCAGTGACGTTTTAGTACTAAAGGGAAGAAAATTACTAGGAAAATTTAGTTGGCTTTTAACTGCTATCGCGAGATTTTTCGATACCCAATTTAATAAAATACAGAATTACAACATTGTTAATTTTAATTATTAACAGTTATTTATTTTATTTTAATTTTTACTCTTAATTCTTAATTTTAGTAACAACCTTTAAAATAATTCAAAGATTGTGCCTATTTTTTGTACACGTATATATTTTTTTTATAAAAATTATAATCTTGAACTTAACTTGATATATTTTTACCTTAATTTAATTTTAATTCAATAAGCGTTGGTATCGGTATCGACGATATTCCTATAAGTGTATCGGCATCGGTATCGTATCGGCAGAAAAGCGTATCGATGCATCCCTAATTATAAATTATAATGCTTTTAATTATTCTTATTTTTTGTTTACTATTTTGTTTTGTTTAATTTTTATGTACTATTATTATTATTATTACATTTTTTTTATTTTTTGCGTTTGAGGCGCAAACTAACTGTTGTGGTCTCTGGCAGAATGAATTTATTTTTCTTTCTACAAAATAGTCTATTATAATTGAAATGTCAAACATTTCTATTAAATAAACATTTCAATAATTTTAAATGAAGTTGACACTTAATGTGGTTTAATTATGATTTAACAAAATAGAAAACTCACCCGTCAACAACCAGCGAATCATAGGGCGCCGGCCTATCGCAGACCGGGCAGAGCCAAGTGGGTTTCCTCTCATTCATTTGCAGGAACAAAGACGCGTCGAAGCACTGCAAGTGCGGACAGTTGGCAGGTCGGCACGGACAAGACATCCGCATCTTGCCCAACGGACACATCAGGGACACGCGGAGTGACGTCGTCGCTATTTCGTTGTCGTAGTCCTCCGCGAGCTTTTCTTTAACTGTATAGTAATAATTATGTACGGGGTTCATCGAGGTGCTTTAAATAATAGAGAACTTTTGTTTTAGTCTAAATTAACCACTCAACAACTAAGTACAACTATAGAATATAAGCGAAATAATGAAATGTTAATTTCTATGTAAAAAATGAATGCAATGTAACAATTGAAGAGAGTGCCCGCGTCTGGCCGTACTCTCGGGGTGTAACTCCGATGATTTAGGAAAAAAAATGTCAAAATAAATCTATCACAGCTGACCCGGCCAAAGTCGAATTGGTTCGAAAATATTTCAGTGGGCAGCTGGTGCGTGGCAAAAACTGCCTTAAGAAACGCTCAGTTGTGGAACGTCAAAAAGGAAAGGACTACCGAGTTTACCCTAGCCACTAGGTTCTGTGTTCAGTATTACGTAAACGAATTTTGGGGGGTCCTTTTATAAAACGTTACGATGCGGGGCGGGGATTGAATTACGCGTTATTGTTAATATTATTTTCGACGTTCCAGTACTTTACACCACATAATGGTAACTTTTAGGTATAAAGAGTCACTAGGTGGTCACGAAACGTTTTACTATACTTGGATACAGAAAAACGTTACGGCCCGTTACATGGGGGATTTTTAATAATCTCCAAAGATTGCGTGACGTAATACCTGATAAAAATAGTTCTCAGACCTACTGAATTCACACAAATGTAAAAAAAAGAAGACTGAACTTACTTAGCGATCTAGTATAATCAGCATTCTTGGTCCCTTTATTCTTCAGCCTCATGAGTAACTCGGCAGAGGTCAGCTTTTTCACCATGAAAACACTTAAGACATATGCTCTTGTGAAGTCTGCCGCCCATGTCACCTGGATGGTGTTGACCACAGTCGGAGACAGTTTTACTAGGGATGAGATATTGACTGGCCGGGGAGGTCTCTTTGGCTCCGGAGTTGGTTTGTTTGTTGGTATTGGGTTCTGGAAAAATATTTCTTGTCATTGAAAAAATTCATGAGTTCAAAATTAATGTTATGGTTAAATGCAGTTCGAAATAATTAAAAAAAAACAGTACAATATACAAGTGTGAATCTCGAATAAAAGGCCAATCACGATAATTTCTAAATTTATTTATTTAATTTGTTACAAACGATAGAGTGGAATTTTTGGTTTTCTTAATAATTGGTTAAATGGTTAATTTATTAATTATTTTTTATTTGATTACAATAATTAACTGATTAAATTAATTATTTTAATTGTTTTTTATTTAAGCGAATCAATTTTACGCGAAGTTACATAGATTATATTTTAACATTTCCAGAGCAAGTAATATTTTCTAATTATTTGATAACACGATGTACACAACTTCTTCTTCTTTTAGTGCCTCTCCATTAGTGGAGGTTGGCCATCAGTCTCTAGAAGCGTGTCTTGTCCTGTGCCAGATGCAGCAACTCTTCCCCAGTCGCAATACCGTCCACTCCCTGACGTTGCGAAGCCATGTATTCTTCCTTTTACTCTGGATTTTACTCATTATTATTATGTATTAATTGAAGGAGGTGGTAGGTCGTGGCCTAGGTACGTTTGCACACGTAAGTTTTTTCGACATTCCAACTCGTTTGAGACCTTCTAGATCCATCTTATACGACGCTTGCGACGATAGCACAACATCTCAAATGCTTCTAAGCGCCGGCGGGTATCTTCTTTAATCCAAGCCTCACAGCCGTACAGAACAATTGGGCATATGTAACAAAGACTCTGAGTTTAATGGTCAAGTGATGGCAGCACAAAACTGTCTTCATTTTATTGAAAGATCCTCGGGCAATTTCAATTCGAGACCTAATTTCCTGATCAGGATTCCAAGTTCCCAAATACTTGCATTGCCACTAATGTTCCAACGTCCTTCCAGCTACAGATAAATTAGGACTTAAAGCGTCGTTTTGAGAAATGACCATCACCTTCGTCTTTCCTGCATTAATAGACAGACCGTCTCTCTCGCTAGTTTCATGAACTCTATTAACAAGTATTGTAGATCGTCCGCCGACGATGCTATTGAAACAGTGTCGTCTGCATAGAAAATATTGTTGATGATCCGTTAACTTTCACACCAACCTCTGACCCCTCAATGGCTTCTGATATAGTTGCTTCGGAATATAAATTGAATAGCAACGGAGACAATATACAATCTTGACAAACACCACCATAAATACTGATTTTCTTTCTGCTCCTAATCTGCTTTTTGGTCTTTGGTTTCTAATTACTCTTAGATCCCTTTCATAGACACCGGTGTCAATTAAATGATTATTTATTGTTTATTGCCAGTTCTCGTCCATTCTACGCCCTTGATTCGAGAACTGGCAGTAAATGTAAATTTAGAGGAATTAATTTTCGTTCATAAGTGTACAATAAGTTACATTCATAAATCAATATTTTAATTCTATCTACGATCTAAGTACCACAATTTATATGGGATAAGTTAACCTATTTTTTAAGAAAACCCTAACAAAGGGAGGATATTACACTGTTCGGTAATTCATAGACGATGACAATTAGTGCCGCTATAAGATGGGGAGTTGACATGCATAAGTGTACAAATTGTACCTAAATGATTAAATGACTTTTTGTTTGTTTGAAACAATGAACACGTTTCTATTTCAATCTTCTTTTAGTATCTCTGCGCTGTGGCACATACCACCTGCTGTTTCTTTCATTTGGTCTATCCACCTTCTAAGTTCCATTCCTATTTTTTCGTTTGCTGTACCTTGAGGACCAGTACTTACTACTACGAGTACGTTTTTGCTCCACTTTTCTTTTCCTTCTGCCATGTGCCCCGCCCATTTCCACTTTAGTTTCTATCCCTTTCATAAATCATTCCATTGATCTTTGACACACCTGTAGTTTTGTATGCTGCGCTTTAGTGGGCAGTAGGTTTGAGATCCATATGTTAGTACAGGTATACAAGTATTGAAGAGCTTTCCCATGCTTATTTTTTTTTCATGACTTCTTTAATCGCCCAAAAGCTTTACCATGCTATTCTTGTTGCTGTTATTAACATACTCCCGCACTAAGTATATAAGTATTGGCTTTGATGGTTGGGTAAGAACAGTTACTATATGTTTAGCGGCATATATTTAAAATAAATTAATATAAAATAAAGTGAAATATACTCACTGGCAGTGGACACATTTTATTGTTTACTTTAACATTAACACTAGGTGGAAAGTAGTCTTCTTGTTCGCACGATGTCTCTAGCAGGCAAAACCTTAATTGAGCCTGAAACAATATTACTTCTATTTAGGCTAGCAAAAAAAAAACCAGTGAAAAGGTGATCTGCCTTCTGTGCCTTCACCGTACGAGCGAGTGTTAAATTCGCACATAGAAAGTCCATTGGTGCTCGGCCAGGTTCGAACCTACGACCTCAGGGATGATAATCGCACGCTGAAGCCAATAGACCAAAACTGTTTGCTAGGCTATTAAACACGTGTGCTAATTTCGTAATCCATGTATGTCCACGAATTTCTAGGAAAGTTAAAGTCATATTTAGGCTTTCGCGTAAAGAGATAGATGAGTACCAAATCGCAAGTAGCCTGATATAGCTATAAATATATATATACAGTCACAACCGTTTACGACATCGTTTAGAACATACCGGTTATATTGACCGAAATCAAAGGTCCCGGCTGAATTCTATTGTATTAGGTACTTAATACAACGTCATCGGCTGTTACGACTATAAATATGAGTAGTCCCTTCGATTTCGTTATAATAGATTTTCACTGTATTGGGCTCGATTTCCAGACAAAAAAAAATCCGATTGGTAAAGGCCTTCTCGCCGTTAAGAATACAGATTCTGAACAGTAACCTACATTTAAGTAGTTTAATTAAAAAATAAAATAAATATCAGCTATTTTATAGTTTTACTAGCAGACCGGCTGGGCCAAGCGTTGCTGTGGCTACGGTTTTAGTTATATTACATAGTAGTAACCTATTCAAGGGAAACGGTAGAAGAACACCAGTCATGGGACCACCATGATTTTTTGGTGGTAATGCCATTAAATTATAGCTTATTTGAAACGTTGGTACTTTCAACACAGCGCCATCTGTTAGAATTGTGACTATCAAATAATAAACAAATATTTTGCAATAACATAATATTGCAGGTATAAATTGAGATCTAAGCTATCCTATGTTTTAAGTTAGATCAAACTGCACACGGTGTGCAAATTTGATTGAAATCGGTTCGGTAGTTTAGGAGTCCATAGCGGACAAACAACGTGACACGTAATTTATATATATTAAGATTTACTTGATTCCACCAAGAACATACACACACACAATATACAATTTTTAATGTCACAAGCACCAATAGGAAAACATGACATACACGAAGAGATAATAGAAATATCAAACAAAACAATTAAAATTAAATGGGATACAACTCTGGGGGTCAGCAAGCCATTCTAATATCTACTCTGATTTTTAATTCCGTAGAATTCTGACAATTCTTAAATGTTGCTACTAACTAAACTCAATTATTGACAAATTTGACCCATTTGACAAATTTTTTATGTTTTACCTACAAAAAGGTAAATCTTAATATTTACTTACTCAAGTGACCTAATACAAAAATAACAAATATTTCAATATCATGATCAATATATGGATTTAACTTGAATTACTACATTTTATTCTTTAGCTGGCACCACTGCCTACCAATTCCAGGTTTAATAAACCTTTTAAAAAAAAAATGTTATCTTTACTTGTGCGTTTTATACTGTTTGTGATGAAAAGGGACATAATTATCAGTAGCCGTAAAACAACTTTTAGTGTTGAACGCCGCACTTAATAAAATGGATACATTCACTAATAAATAAAATGTATGTATAGAGTCAGATGTTCAGACTTGTATTGAAATTGAAATATGTGGTTGGCCAAAAAGGTTTGTAATCTCTGACATGTCAAAAAATGATAGCTGTCAGAATTCTATGGAATTAAAAATCAGAGTATAGATCCTTCAGCGGGTACAAAACAAAACACTGCGAAATATGAGCGGTGCGTCGTTTTAACACGAAATGCTGAACTCCATAAATATTTGGGAATTACCACTGTCGAACAATACAAAAGGAGATTTCAGCAACACGTAAACTCCCTAGGTTCGCACCTCTTGGAAACAAACAAACAAAAAAATATAGGAAAACAAATTATTCGATTTGCATTTCCTTCAAAAAGAAAATCTGATAAAAGCCAAGTGGCTGATCACAAATGGTTTAAATTTAAAAAAATAAACAATTAAAATTGGGTTTCACATTGAGCCTCAACAGATGGCGTTCACAAATCTGCAAACACTATTACAAACGTATACTCACTTGTATGACATAATCAAGTTTATTGCTTGTTCCAACTAAATCCTTTCCTGTGGCGATATCTGTTGCTTGTTGCGGTGTGAGGTGGAATATGAAACTGCCTTCTTGCATTCGGCCTGGTTGTATCGGCATCATTGTGGATGGCTTCATTAGTTCCGCTAACACATCATAGAATGGTAACCTGCCATAACATATTTTTTTTTGTAAAGATATACTCTAATAATAAACTCTGTACGAGTAAAAAAATCACGATTAAACAAGTGTTTAAATTAAATACGGAATAAGTTTAAGGAATTAAATAATATGACACCATCTGGTCAATATATTCTTGAAGCCTTGTTGTATGTACAAAAAAATATAAACGATTTCAAAACAAATGGTTTATTTATTTATTTACACAAGGCAACGGGCGGCCTTATCGATAACAAGCGATTTCTTCCAGGCAACTCTACTAATATGGAACAAAAAAACTTTCACAAGTATAATACTCGAAACAGAACAAAACTAAGCTTACGATCCACCAGGCTCCAGAAGATAAACTACTCCTTATATGGAAATTGTATTCGTTTTTATAACAAACTGCCAAGCGAAATTAGAGAATTATCACTGAATAAATTTAAAACTCTCGTTTAACGTAAATTTGACGATTATTTAAATGATCATAATGCTTGTGATTGATTTGCTCCAGTTCAAACAGTTTGTATGACTCAAAATTTGGCGATTAAAATGAGTGGCAGAGAGTTTCTTGCCAGTTCTTCTTTTTTATACCGAAGCTGTTGACTCTCGATCAGCTTTTAAATATAAAAAAATCCATCATAATCCATTCGTTTCGGAGCTACTAAAGACAGACACACGGAGACGTCACATAAAATCTTGCGTCTGAAGTTAATAGAAATTTTTTTTTTTTTCAAATTTCAATGTGCAATGTGTATTTTACTAAATTACCTATCATAGAACCTTGCGCTACCATATGCAACAATAGAAAGACATAGGTACTCACTTTTTAAACTTAACATCAGGGTGTACAGGGAAAGGCGGCGGCATGACTGAGGTTGGCGAAGGTGAAGGCATGGGGGCCAATGTGGCTGACCCCGTCCCGCCATACCCGTGGTACATGTTACCCGTGTACATCGGGTTCTGGCGACTCTGTCACGTGACAACCATTTAACCATACCTTAACGTAAAATAGAGCTAACTATCCAACTCATGCAAACTATTTTTATTTATATACTCTTCTTAAAATTCAAATTTAATGACGTGGAATAAGTGATACATGTATCTTATGTTCCTGAATAAACATTTACATAGTTTACAATTTACTTATTTTCATGTATTTGAATTTGTAATGACGAATTTGTAAGACATGTTGATGATATTTTAAATTTTTGTACCATCATTATTTCGCCAAGGTTTAAATTTCAATTTCACATATTGAAACTAAAACTTTAATATTTGTTTACTAGTCAATATTTCGACAAAAGCTTCTACAAAATTTACATCTAAAATCTTATTATTTTCAAAGATATTTTGACGAGTTAACATGCCTGACACACGTCGACCTTTTGGGTTTAAGGCGAGCCGGTTTCCTAACGATATTTTCCTTCAACGTTCGAGAGAATGTTAAATGCACACATAGAAAGAAAGTCCATTGGTGCACAGCCGGGGATCGAACCTACGACCTCATGGATAAGAGTCGCACGCTGAAGCAACTAAGCCAACACTGCTCTAATGGTATATAAAAGTTAAAACCAATGAATTTAATATAAAAAATACAGGACACTATACACTAACCGTTACAGGTAGGTTCTGTGCCCTAGAATCCTGTGGATTATTGACTATACTGTAGCCCCCGACCACTGGGTGCTGGCCATACATGTTGCGGGAGCCCTGCATTCCTGGTGCTAGTGGATCTTTGCCTTGGGAACTTGTGCCTGTTGCACCAGATTGTATTCCTTGGCTGTTCCTGCAATAAAAATTAAGATTCCGAAATTGAAAAAATAAGAAAAAGATATTTCTATAAATAAAACTATAAATTCCTAGTGCATCTCTTGCTCTGTGAAGTATTTGCTATTTCAAACAACTGATTCAGCATTGATCAGATTAATACCACATGGCACATACAGATTTTATGTCCTCCACCAAACATGCAATTTTTACAACACTTAAAAATAAAAGGAGAGTAGATATTTCTAATCTACAACTAACAGCTTGTGAATAAATTGCCTCAATAGAAATTTCTTAAACAAACACGGCCCACAAATCCTGTAAGCTAGAGCCCATAGACAATCAGAATATCAGACCAGAGGGACAGAATTGCGACACAATCGCAAATTAATGACACTTGCCTAGGATATCCTTTATTTTTCGTTCTAAGATCAGATGAGTTTCCATTCGTAGCTGACGAACCCTGGGCTGTGGTGACTACTCTCGCTGAAGACCTTGTTTTAACCATTGTTGACGACCGAGTTAAATTGCGTCAACTGAAATTAAGGCGTCCGGAATCGGACAGACAACACTGTAATACAGCTTAAGGCAGACAAGTTCTGGAAACTTTCGACTTCAAAACACCTTATTTCTCTTACCAATGAGCTGGGACTAAGGAAGGTTCAAACATCTGCAATTGAATAATAACCCATTAAGTCTACAATGGTTAAAACATGTCTTACAGCTTGATTAGGTAAACCGCAATAATCCAAAGACGTAAGGTAAGAAAAGAAAAAATTGGCGGTCCTCTACTTTTAAAGTTAACTATTCCACTGCAGCTGTGAAGCTAGAGAGAAAAATATAGTTATTCCTTAATTACTGGAAAAGAAGGATATTTTTGGGATAGGAGCGAATCAGTAAGAGAAATAAGTTGAATGTTTTGTCCAAGGAAATTTCCCAGATTTGTACAGAATTTTTTTTTCACTACAAATACAAATTATAACTGGATATATGAATGCATATTTATATTTGGAAACAGGATAGGACCACCACTACAATACAAAATAAACTCTAAACAAGTATTAATCTAAAAGACAATATTTCCAACAACTAAATAAAGAAAAACAGGATTTTCTAAAAGCTTTGAATGATTTTTTGATTTTGTAATATAGTACAATTGAAGCAAACAAATGTAATTTATTTTCAAACAGGTTGATACATAATAAACTAATAGCTAAACTTTTAGCATTTAGCTTACTCAAGTAAAAGCAAGTTTTTAACTAAACATTTAAAATAATAATTTAGAGGATGAAGAGTTAAATGGTCTTTTCGGATGCATTTTCTAACTAATATTACTTGTGCCTTGTTGATTCTACATAACTAAAATTATAAATATTGGATTGTATTTTTTAAATTTTGTTATTTTAATAAAAAAATCAACTAAAAAATGTACCCTACATGTCAGTCAGTCATGTCATGACCTAATTAATTTAATAACTATACATATATTACTGGTATCAGATTTAATATACAACTTTTGGATAATGTTGAGAGAGGCTTTTGAGACAATTTTTATATGATAACTTTAGAGCTATACTGAGTGTTAGTCAAAAGTCGATCTTACTTATAACAATATTTTATTTAAATTAGTTGTGATCCTTAAACTTGATTACCTCAATATAGTATTGGATTTATTAATATTATTGTTCCGAAATTTATTAAATATCCACATTGGTACATCTTGAAGGAGTTTCGATACTTTACTTCCAGTTCTAACCACGTTTAAATTTAGTAAACATTGACCGGCAACAATTGTGTACGTTATTTTCAGGTATTTGCTTATTAAAATTTACATTCAAGTCATATTTTAAAATTCGTAAACAACCAAAATATTATGGATTTATATGAAAACGTTTACAAATTTGAACCGAGATGAATGAAGGCAACAACTACGTTTACTTACCATGATATAGCGTTACCATAATCGTAATATCTACTCATAATTAATTTTAAGTTATTATAGGTACACTGACTTTAACTACACCTATAAAAGTTGTTATTTACTATATCAATGTCTTTCACAAAACGCCATAACTTGACGATCTTCACTTGACGCTAGCTGACTGTCCGCCACATTGGTTTGAGCATAGACAAACTCATATGTTGTGATTAATATTGGTTCAATGCTATGAAAATACAAAGTTTAGCTCACACTGGGTTGAAAAAGGGTCAGTATGTAGTACACGGTCTTAAACAGTTTGAATTACAATAAAATAGTGTAAGTCACAAAAACAATGCTCAATATTATTTTAAATGAATTAGGTTTTTTTTTAATAAAATTTTCATAGACAATCAACTGCTAGACGTTACGTAATATCCGTTTCCTCTATTAGGGCTGTCCAAAATATTTTATTGCAGCGCGATTAGATATTTTATGTTTTAAGCGAGGTTATCGTTATGATTTTAACTTCTAAGAGCCTCAAACTGATGAGAAATGTAAATTATATTAAACTATTCATTAACTTACCAACTAACACTTGTAATAAAGTAAAAAAAGTATAATATTTGTAATTGCCACTACGAATATCCGATTTAGTTAATGCAAGAAATTAAACCGATAGTAAAAAATTAAATTATTTTATAGAATTTTATGTATGTTGTAAAAATATAATTTCTTAACATTATCTTCTCCTAAAACTCATTTGATTCTGATTTTTATTCCAGATTTATGGGCGTGATTATAAATTAAAGTTTTCGTCACTACCGTTTCCGGGCAAGTAGGGCTGTCAATATTTATTAACATGTGTAAGGATTCTGAGAACACCAATTTGACCACAGTGGGGTTGTTTGTATACCACGCTGTTTTAATCGTAAATTATGTAAATCAAGTCTTGCGTGTACTGGTCGAGTTGCAGCTTCAGCCCGGTCTGACCACAATCTTTCTGCCAATGCCGCTGCCCTTGGCCAAATTCTGGAATCTAATCCATCTTTACTCAAAGTGGATGTCCACACCGTTGCCTCACCACCTTCCAAGGATTTAATTGCTTTTCTAGTCCACGGCCTATGTTCGTAAACTCTCTGCCATGAGTTGAAATTTGAGTTTCCAGTTTCTTCATACCATTTGCTGTAGCCGTCATTCAAATCCCAAGCATCTTGATGGGATAGAATTAACCGTAACCCACTTATATACCTCTGGGACGACGCTAAATCGTTAACTTGTAATCCAAGATTGTGGAAGTAGGGTTTTAAATCCGGTTTGATACGATCACTCATTTTCGAGTTCCAGAACAACGTTAAGTTTGGCAATTTTTCATTCGCCGTTTCCAACCGTTGTAGTGCATTAGTTGTGAAGACAAGCCAAAGATCCATAGGGTCGGTGGCATTAAACTTTTCAGCCCAACAACGTAGTGATACATCGCCGTTACCCATATGAAAAACGTCATCCACCCCTGTTAATTGAATAATTTCCGCGTACAACTTCTCGATCATTGTATACACTAAAACGCTTCGGGGATTCAATTGCCCACATGGAGGTTCGTCACAATACTCAGTCCATGGTTTGTTGTTCAAGCAAAACACAATGTTATCAGCTTTATTTCTGCCCTGCCACATCCACGCTGCACTAACATGAGCCGGCAGGTCTACCTCTAGCAAAACGCGAATGCCCCGTAATCTTGCGTACTGAATGACAGTGCGTAAATCTTCTGTGGTGTAGATAGCTCCTGGGCCATAAGCTCCGTAACGCGCTAATTGTGGCAAACTATCCAACTCAAGAGGAAAGGATTGAGCATCAGTAGCATGCCAATGAAATGTATTAAGTTTACAGGAAGCCATTCCATCTATCGTAAGTAGTAGGTCACTAACAGGAAAGTAATTCCTAGCAGTGTCCAGCATCAGACCACGATATTTGAATCGTGGGGCATCATCAACGCTAGCAGCCTCCATCATGAAAAGAGATCCGGCGAAAGAATCAAACCAAACAAGCTGTGAAACAGTTTCAAAAGCATGACGCACTCCACTAAATGAATTAGCAGATATATCAACTCGAAGTGACCTTGTTGTGCCGTTCCTTGGTCTAAGAGAAAACCGATAACTTTCGTCGGTCTCCAGTCGAAGTCTTGGATCTCCTTGCCCGCTCTCACTAATTTCTACATATACAGCAACTGTCCGCCAGTCCTCAAAAACACGTACGTCGTGTTCCATTTTTCGTAGGACCCCTTGAAATATCTCGAATGCACCCTTGACGTGTTCCCGAACGGACCTTGATGGAAAAGATAATATTTGCAGGTGAAATAAGTCTGACCGGACTGGTACGGCTGTGGTCGATAAGCTTACTTGTCCAGTAGGCTGTGGCCAAAGAGTCATAGAAGCGCAAAGCATATTACAAGTCATTAGAGACTGGAGTCGACCGGAGAGCGTCGCTTTTGTTGGGACGCATTTATCGTTGATACAATCCCAAGTCCATAGAGGTAAGCTTGCTCTAAAAATTTAATTATATTTTGTAATGTCTGCTCTTATGAGATCTCAATTTATTTTGTTATAAGGGTAAATAGCTAATATTACGTATTTATAAAAAAAAACTTACGCTGAAAAGCTTCCGACCTGTCGAATTGTGATTAATAATATAAAAGTTGTCCATAAAGATATAAATTTCCTCATCTTTAATAAAAATTAATAAACATAATTTTAAACGCTTTTTGAAATAAACATCTGTCGCGCCAGAATACACGAACATGTGTCATTTATGTAACTTTGTTTTCAAAGAATTTACAGATAAATAATAAAAATACATAGACACAGAATTTTGCATTATCCGAATCTAGTTTTGCTTGATCATAGGGACAACTTAAAATATAACTACTAGAAACTTATATGTAATTTTAAACTAAGAAACTTGTTAAGATTTTTTACTCAATAGACAATGTTATATTTTAGTTACACTTAACAATTCTACCGTAAAATGGCTGTTTAATACACATCCATTTAAAAATAATTAGAAAAATATTTCGTGTAGAATAATAGAGCGCTGTCGGCCGCACAGTGACTCTTGAGTCGTAGGTTCACAACCCGGGTGTGCAGTAACTTATCCATATGCACACTTAACAATAGCTCGTACAGTGAAACATCAAGAATGGATCAGCATGCCTTTGAAACAAAATTCATAAAGAAAGCTGATGACCTATATGCCTTTAAAAATATATCACGAAACAAATACAGAAATCTAAGGCTAAGACCAAGGGTTGTAGCGTAACTGTTTTTTTATAGAATAAATAATGCAAAATCTCCATTCTTTATTGAACTAAGATCAATAAAATTCAACATTATTGACAGCTTTCAAAGAAAGTACACGTACATAAATAAGATAAGCGCACAAAGGTACTCCTACTAAAAACGAAGTCATTCCAAACATCACTATAAGAAGATCTTTGATCAGATATACTTTATAGTATCCATAATCGTTGGGGTACAAAATACAGAGTTCCATCACAGCTGGAAATACGAAAGCAAGCATGGTGGTGCACAAATTGCCCACAAATGCCACAAATGCTCCTTGTATGGGGATAAGGTAGCATATGAAAACTGAAAAAAAGGTTATTGATTAGTGATTATATCAGAGCGCGAGCTTATCGTTTTCCACTCTTTGTTCCCCAGGGATCGAACTCCGAATACGTTGCCCAAACGCTCTTCTTCTGTTTTATACTTATTTATTTATGTGTATATATATACATACCAGTGCCGGATATAGCATTACTAGCACCCTGGGCGAGATTTCTACGGCCTTCTCATTTACTTTCCCCCTAACTGGAATTTAAACCCATGCGAAAAAAATGAAAAGGATATAATGAAACAGTGTTGGCCTAGTGGCTTCAGCGTCCGTCTCTGATCCCTGAGGTCATAGGTTCGATCCGCGGCTGTGCATCAATGGACTTTCTTTCTATGTGAGCTATAATAGAATAGTATTTTGATTTATTTGCGCGTGGTATAATTTCTGACTTTCTCACCTATCAGCTCTAGCTCTAGAAGTATCAACCTTCATTGCTAATCGCTAGTGCTTCTCCATAGCTGCAGCAAATGTGGCTAGTATTTGTACTAAGCCCACTTTCCGTTTCTTAAATTAACTTTCTTTATTAAAGAAATATGATTTTTAGTTCGCTCTAACCTTCAAAAGACACGTGTTAAATTTTACAACTGTCGTACTATTAATTTGTGAAGGAAGGTCCATTGCAGCACATGTTCGACCTCAGGGACCAGAGTAGCACGCTTAAGCCAACTCTCCGCCTTTAGACGTACTTAATTAAATAAGAAAACAGATAAATATACACACATGAAGTCATAACGAACAGGGGTCTGGCTGTGGCCTCAATCCATTTCAACATCTCATCGGATGGCGGGTCTTGCGGGTGCCAATTTTTTACCACATCTACAATCATGGATATTGCCGGATAGCATTGTATGGGGTAGGCGAAGGCTATGGCTATAAGGTATAAACCAATCGATGCCATTGATATACTGAAAATTTCGAGTTAGAGAAGTAGACCGAGGTTGCGTTGCCGTAAAGAACCAGCCATTATATAGCATCATCAGCATGTGTATGTCAAAAATGCAAATCTAATCTAATGATTGCATAGTTCCCAGTTTACCTCATAGTTAAATTTAGTTAATGATTAAAGAACTTTATTTCTCATTCCAAAAAAAATATTTTTATTTACATGAGAAATTTAATATAATATACGAACGAGATACGCGTGGCCATCAACTATCCCAATTTTAGTTAACCTCTCGAAACATTACAACTTTATCTGTTTTATAAGTTTTTAAAAAAGCATAATATATATTTATATAAGTTTGTTGCATTCTAGGAAATTATGTACACTGGATATGTACCACTATAAAATTTTGTGTAACGAAATAAATAATTTTTGAAATTGAAATTGATTATATAGCATCGGAATTAATAACAAAATAGGTGTGCCTGTGTGTGTGCGCTCGTATGTATTTGTATACTAGCGTAAACTAAAGATAATATCAATTACATACTAATCATCGAATGGCAAAGATCTTAGGACATTTTCCTCCATCGTGCCAAAGGACCAGTATCCAAGCACACCGAACACAGTTGTAAAAACGGTTGGAATAAACATGCCCACTGTTAGCATTCCGCATGGCTTCGTCAATACCTTTGGATCCTTTAAAGCCTTGTCTATGGATAGTATCTAAAAGAAAAATGTATAATTTCCACTCAAGATTTTTGTAAAACTTCTTTACGACGAGAGTTTCTTCGACTCAAAACAAAGACTTATTGGAGCTTACTCCTTAAGAAACGATTTGAGTTATAAGGCCCGGTACGGAAATTTTATGAGGAGTAAAATCAAGTGTAACACGAAAAGTTGAGGCGTTATGTAGAAAGAGACAAACATATATTTCTGTAGGATTGAACATGTACAAGAATGAGATGGAATACATTACACAGACTTTTCTATTTTGAATTCACGTTTTGACAGCCACGTTACAACATTGTCAGTGTTGAGAGGTGTAAAAAATAAAAGTAGATTGTGTAGCGTGCCATAGAGTTTTGTCAATAGTAATGGTCAGTGAAATTAAAACTAAAAAGATTGTTCATTCTTATTCTTCTCTTACTATAAAGGTAACTTTGGTCGCAGAAAGAAAATCCTATTTGGGCATAGATGATGTAGGTACGTTTTATTACTACTACAAGCATTTATATTATAAAAACATATATTCTTACCACCTTTAGTATGAAAATATGGTCGACAGCCACAGAACATTATCGCCATTTTATCGTTCGTAAGGAGTAAACTCCAATCGTGCGTCGTAGCTGACACACACACACTTTTTTTTTTGTTTAGTACCCATAAGGTAATTTTATTTTTTATGGTAGGAATCGATATAGGATATTTTGTCTCTTTAAATTTATTTATTTATTAAAGTTTACCACATCATACATAATACTATACTATCGAGCAGTGTTGGCCAGTGGCTTCAGCGTGTGACTCTCATCCCTGAGGTCGTAGGTTCGATCCCCGATGCACCAATGGAATTTCTTTCTATGTGCGCATTTAACATTCGCTCGAACGGTGAAGGAAAACATCGTGAGGAAACCGGCTTGCCTTAGACCCAAAAAGTCGACGGCGTGTGTCAGCCACAGGAGGCTGATCACCTACTTGCCTATTAAATTGAAATTAAATTGAAATTGATCATGAAACAGATTCAGAAATCTGAGGCCCAGACCTAAAAGAGGTTTTAGCGCCACTGATTAATTTTTTTTACATAATACTATATCTATGGTATTGTTACACACTCTTTTATATAAAATGTAAGACATTGGTTTAAAATTTAAAGATTTTTTTCACTTACGACAGCAACCGCGCTCAAGTTAAACAAGATAGTTCCAATGACGAAGAATAAAGCTAAAGGATCAGTACAAGCGTACACGATTACTCCATGAGGTGCTAAGAATATGAGGTATATTATCAGTAGAAGACCCGCTATGTTCAAGTAATTACCTGAAAAGATTTTTCGAGTAGAAAATTCGCAAGAGAATTTAAATGCTAATAATTAAAATAAATACAAAGATATATTTTTGTATCGAATAAACTTAAAAAACTTTGCTTCCGGCATTATATGCTTTATATAACAGGGAGGTTCCGGGCCTCATCTGATGTTAAGTGATACCGCCGCCCATGGTCATTGCCAGAACGTAGACGTTAAAATCGGCGTGTATCTGGCTTAGAAGGCTGATCACCTACTTGTCTATTAACAAAAAAATTATCACGAACCAGATACTGTAAACTGAGGCTGAGACTTAAGAGGTAGCGCAACTTTTTTATATTACTTTTTGAAGTGAAACTTCTAAGGCGCATGAGGGTAAAATTTTTACGGAACGTCTCAAAGACGTGCAGCGTTTTTGTCGATTTTTTTGACGTGATAACGTCTTATAATTCGATGGAGCCGGCTGCACGCACGAAAAAACATGACTCATGCGGCGTTACCTCGCGGCGCGGCGTTACCTCTGAGGCGTTCCATTTAAGGCTTGAAGTGCAAGCGAGAGCGCGGAACGAGCGACAAAGAGGCACAAAAAATTGACATAATTGTATTTATGCGTACAAATACATGTAACTTGAACTCGCAAGAGCTGACCTTTGAAACAATTTCCAATGAAACGACTTACCAAGCATTGATATATAGCTGACAATTGACAATGTCTTCATAAAATATTGTAGGAATAGATAAGGAATCAACAGAGACAATATAGCCGGTTTTGAAGTTTTCCAATCCATAATCTAAAATTAACATTACCAAGTTGACTGTCCTGAGTTACATACTAAGCTGTAGGACGCTAAAAATATGCATCTATTGTACCTAAAGTCAACACCATTTACAGAGGGAACAGCTTTATGGTTAGGGCGGCGGGTAAGTTTAACAATTTAACTGTTGATATTGACCCGCTGTTCGCCTTAAGTGTGATATCAGCAAGGTGAGCTGTGACATCTGAGTACCTCAGTGGTATAAATAGTGTATCTTAAGTTTTTATAAGTACATAAGTTATACTACCCTAAGTGTTCCTCAACTAATTTTTAGTTAGTTTATTGCTTTCTTTGATATATAGTTGGATTAAAATGATTTTATAAGTACTTAACTAAATGTAAAGATTTGTTTAATGGCGTGAAAAGATCTTTATATTTCGTAAGTTAGTTATAAGCTATAAATCTTTCTCAATAAATAAAAAAAATGTCTAGTTTTCCTTTATTGAATGCAGCGCTGGCATTGATCCGTTAATGTTTTAAATGTGTAAAATAATACTAACATCTCTTAAACTATCTGTTGTAAATATGACGAAAACCGTGCAAATCCCTAATTGACTCATAAGCATAAATATTGATATTATCATTCTGAAAACAAAAAAATTATGGCGATTAATTAAAATAATTCAAAAATTCTCTGAAAAAAATAAAAATAAATTTTAAATAATGTCTGCAAAGTACTCTTTGAACATTTAGATTACAGGAATGCACAGTCACATTTTCGTTAGACGCGCAGCGTAAGAACCGATTTTAAACAAAGTTTATCATGGCTGTGGTGAACGGCACTGGGAACGGAATTAATATACCTGATGGACCGATCAAGTGAAAGACCCATCGTCCTCAAAACTGTACACTGTAATAATAGAGGCGCTGGACAGAAACCGGCAGAAACAGATTGTCCTCTCCAGATGTTTCCTTGCTGCTCAGACATGAGCTACCGACTGAAGAGAGAGAGAGAGAGAAATATAAATTATACTTAAATGTCCGTGCCTTCCGTTTGACATTATAGATAGGTAATGGCAAAAATAGTACGGGTACGTTTTAGATAAACTTACGGGCCCTTTTCTCCGATTCTGTGCAAAATGGTTGGTCCATGTAAAAGCGCTACGCGGAAACCATACCTGTAAGAAATGTATGGAATCCTCAGTTGTCGACTGATTTCATTGAGACACCATAGCTAAAATAGAACACAATTTAGCAATGTATGAAATTCCATGTAATTCCTGTAATTTACACCGACGTAACAATCATAATCTAATATATAAAATTCTCGCATGTATATAAAATTCCCGTGTCACAATGTTCGTTCCAATACTCCTCCGAAACGGCTCGACCGATTCTTATAAAATTTTATAATCATATTCAGTAAGACTGAGAATCGGCTACTATCTATATTTCAAACCTCTTAGTGATAAGTGTCCCCTAATGTAGTGTCCACCCCTAAACATTTATTTTTATTTTTTTGATATTTTTTTTATGATACAGCATACATAAATACATACAACCCCCAATTTTCACCTCTCTACGATCAAACCCTATTTTTTATTATTGTAGATACAGTGTAAACTCTTTATAACGTCATTCATTATAACGAAACTGTCTCTATGTCACCGTAAAATTGTAAACACCGTTAGATTGTAATCTATCTCGCGAGATTGTAAACTGTCGAAAGATTGTGAACTCAACGTACTGCTTACAATTTAACGTATTATTATTCGGTAGATTGTAATCTGTCGAAGTGAAACCGTCAAATTGTGAAACGGCCATTTTCTACTTTTCTAATGGTTATAAGAGATGTGACATTCTCGTTTTCTATTGGTTATAAGTGATGTGACATTCTCGGTAAATTAATCGGATCGATTATTTCCTCATTTGTTATTTTTAAAGTTGAACCTAATCGAATCGATTATTTCCTCATTTGTTAATTTTAAATTTAAACCTAATTTAACCATTACTTGTCAAATGTACATACATTACATTAACTTAATGTTTCAATTAGTGTATGGTTCCGAAAATTTTTCAATTATTCAAAAAGTACCCAAAACCGAATCAGAGCACCCCACTATCCACGTGGTCTTGTCTGCCCTACCCCTAGAGTGTATATAAAAAAATCGGAGGCGCAGTGGAAGAGCAGCCCCCACCCGCTGTAACAAAGCACAGGCATTATGCAAGCTGCGGAGGCTTGAATAAATTGCCTGTGCTTTGGTACGCAAGGGTGGAGGGGCTGCATTTCCCGTAGCTCCGGTGCTGTCCAAAAAATGTATTATTATTCGGTTAGGTTAGGTTAGTATATTCATATTTTTTTTTAAATAACTGTTCAACTGAAACTCGAAATCGAATACAAAAATCGATTTTCACTTTTAAAAAATAGATTATTTTTGAATAATTTCAAAATTTTCGGAACCCTACACTAATTGAAACATGAAGTTAATGTAATGTATGTACATTTAACAAGTAATGGTTAAATTAGGTTTAAATTTAAAATTAACAAATGAGGAAATAATCGATTCGATTAGGTTCAACTTTAAAATTAACAAATGAGGAAATAATCGATTCGATTAATTTACCGAGAATGTCACATCACTTATAACCAATAGAAAACGAGAATGTCACATTTCTTATAACCAATAGAAAAGTAGGAAATGGCCGTTTCACAATTTGACGGTTTCACTTCGATAGATTACAATCTACCGAATAATAATACGTTAAATTGTAAGCAGTACGCTGAGGTTCACAATCGTTCGACAGTTTATAATCTCGCGAGATAAATTACAATCTAACGGTTTTTACAATTTTACGTTAACATCTATAAGGTGTAAGTGAGTTAAATTTATTTGATTTAACCCAATACCCATCCATTAATTCTTCCCTCCCTATAACGAATAGAAATGCTCGGTCCCTTGAAATTCGTTATAACTAGCGAGTTTACACTGTACTTAGTTATTTTTATTGAACCAAAAAAATGTTTCCTAGAAAAATACATGGCAAAACAACGTTTGCCGGGTCAGGTATTGTATTATAAAAAAATTATAAAATTAAATTTTATAAAACAAACACTATAATTAGGAATTGAACCCGGTAACTCGCCGTTCGTAAATGAAGTATTTCTCCCGTATCTCAAAATCCTGGCGAAGATGTGTCTGCCTCATTATAAAGTAAAAAAAATATGTTTAGTATGGAACATAAGATACAGGTATTACTTGTTCCACGTCATTAAATTATTAATCCCTACTCATCGGCAAAGAAGACAGAGGGTGTAGGCCGAGAGAAAATGCCGCCGTAAAAACTCTCGGTACTCTTTAAAAATAGCAAATCATCAAATAACACTTATTTTAAAACAAATATGGCAAATTAATTAGAAGTAGCCTGTCTATCCTAGTCCCAGGCCCTTTTATCAACTAGATAATCAGTATTCTTAATATGAGCTAAATCTTTCCAGGAGATCTTACCAAAGTCAAATGCATGTGTATAATAAGAAGGCCCAACGCTGTTGTCATTATGGGTCCAAGTATGATACCGGATTGACTAACAGCTAAAGGCAGACCCAGCACACCAGCGCCCCATAATGTTCGCATGAGATTGAAGTACGCCATCCACGGTCTTGAAAACAAAGCACATTTACATTAACGAGTATAGATTTTTTTATTTATAAATTTTCTAACATTACAGCAACTAGTTCGATAGAAAACTTCCCGGCATATAAATTTGCAGTGCTAAGATTTTAGTTTTCTTTTTTCGCCTACCCAAATACGTAGCAGCGCCCGCAATAATTCATTAATTCATACTTGTAGCTTCTGCAATTTGAATTTATTTTACTTAATTTGCCTCGAAGAAGCAACGGACATTGTAAGGTTCCTGGGTCATCGGGGTGCTTTAAATAATTGAAGATTTTTGTTTACCACTCGCGTATAACAATAGAATATGAGCGAAATAATGAAATGTTAATTGCAATGTAACGAATTAATGCAATTTAACAGGCTATACTCTCGGGGCGTAACTCCAACGATTTAGGAAATCGTCACGCTAATAAAACCACTTTATAAAACCAGCTGCCACTCAAATAGTCCGGTCAAAAAAAAAACAGTTTTTTTTCCATGGGTCGTAAAGATGGGGAATTTTGAAAAGTTGTTTTTAATTGTGTTTTGAACAAGTTTACTCAGTTTCAGCTTGATGGTAATTATGGTAGCTTGCAATGTGTAGATTGACCGGACTAAAATTATTTCCTAAACGATACGAGAAGCCTTCAAGAGCGTGCTTTCTTAAAGGTTGGCAACGCATGCAAGACCCCTTTATCACAGGTTACAACTTAATTGAATGACCAGCCTGCGTATGCAATTTTGAATTTTTCGTTTTATAAAAAATCTAATCAAAAGTAAAATTTTATTTGTAGTGTAAGTACCAATTCCTACTCTGACCTCAATGTCAACTTTTGACTTATTTAATTTAAGACTACTATTTAAATAAAAATAAATCTATAACAGTTTTCAACTTCGACATATGAAAAGAAAAAAAACATCAAACTTCCCGATTTAAATTAAAAAAAAATCAATTAACTTATTCAATAGATAATAATAGTGATAATGACTGAGTATATAACTTCCTTGTAAATTAAGGTTGCTAATAATGTTTGGAAATATTATCTATATGTATGTATATATCTTATATGCTATTAACATTTAACCCAATTAACCCAATACGTGCGTGTAGATCCATGAAATTTACGTTTAAGCCGATTTCGAATACCGGCTAAGGCTGATCATTATGAATACCAACTCTATGCTGTACTTGCGTATATCGGTCCTAAGTTCGATTCCGGCGAAACAAATGTTGTTTAAAGATGGCAAAAAATACATTAAAAATAATTAATTGGCGCAGTATCGACCCCATGGCAGACAAATTTCTGCGCCAAAGTAACTGTAATTTTAGTAATTTTTTCTACAAATCAACGGCGCCGTTGTACAACTTGAATAAATTACGTACTTAATAGGGGCTTTGGGTTCTCTGTGGTCCCTTGGATCAAAATCATCGTCAGGTGGCTTTTCTTCTGGTAGTTGTGTTAGTCTAAAATCTATCAATGACTGCCGATCGATAGGCCGAATAGAAAGTTTACTAACGGCCTCGAATGCGGCCCTGAAATATAAAATATTACAAAAAACATTGAGCAGGTTTACAAGGCTTAGGTTTTTTATTAAGGTAAAATTGATTATTGAATATGCAATCTTACATTTTGTAACTAAGTTAGGTATATTATGTTTAATTTATGACGTTTATTTTGACTTACAGAACAAACTACATAACATTGTGTTCAATGACTTTGATTGTTTTGTAATAGACCACAAGCCCATGAACAAAAAATACATGTGAAATGACCCAACGTGAATTACGTTTAGAAGGCTGTTACTATATCTGAAAATAACTCTGAGCACTATGCCGTCATTTCTGAGCGGTACATGTGAGTACGTGAGTGAATGGAATTTCTCAGATACGAAGGAGGAATTTCGACTAATTATTAATGTACGGCTTTGTTATAAGTGTATAGATGATTAAAAATAAATGTCGAAAAACCTAGTGCCGTACTAAAGTGATGGTGCCGGAAGTCGGTGCAAATTTTTAATTCGACGATAGTTGCAGAAGCAATATAGGTCATTTATTACTGTACGGCATTTGTGTAATTCCTTTTGGACACATATACAGATACTTTACCCGTAAACGCCGTACATATTTCCAGCGGAGCGGTCGAAAGCCAAGGGTCGCAACCCTACCCCTACACCCATATACCCTAAGGTCATTGTAAAATGTAAGGCAACATATTCAAAATATTATTTAACACGGACAATAATGTTTTATAATTATGCCGTCCAAAAATTATAGTTAATATTTGTGTAAATAAATATTTATCGAAATTTCAGGATTTACTGAGCTCTTACTGCTGTAAGATCAGAGAATAATGTACGGCAACTTGTTTCTTTACATAATGTTACTAAATATTACCGTTGTACCTTATAGCCGTTCATTATAAATGGTAACAAATAAAAATATTATGATAAAAAATATATGAAATTTCCGAAATTTAGATGATTTTTCAAATATTCCTAGAGTAATATGAGGAGTAATATTTTCAAAGATTATTGTTATTTTATATGTAACAAATATAAATAAACAAAAAAAAACCAGATGCCGTACATTTTACTCCAGATTATTCTTTACAGCTGATAAAAACTTCGACGACGTTTGAGGTGTCCCTTAAGGTCATTAATAACTGTACGTATCTGAGTATACTACCATAAGGCTGTAAAGTATATTTACAGCCTTATCATACCAGCAGAGAGAGGTAAAGGAAAAATATTTTTAACAAAAATAAAAATATAATACAGGGCGTCCCAAAGTTAAAGGATATGAAGGGAAAGTACCTTTAATATCGTAGATAGGGTATTTTATTGAAAGAAGACTTTATGTTATTTTTTAAAGTTAGTAATTCTGCATTCAAAGATTTTGTAAAAATTACTTGCCTCGTCTAGAAATCAAACCTGCTTAAATGTAAAAAAAAACACCCCTACTTTTATGATGCCAATCGAAAGAAAGGCCGAAACCTAATAACTTTTCTAAAGTTAACTTAGAAAAGTTAACAAATTAAAACTTTTTAATTTGATTAAAAAGATATATTCATGCAGTTCCTTTCTTTAAAAATACTATGTTACTTAAGAAAAGTTATTAGTTTTTGGCCATTCTTTCGATTGGCATCATAAAAGTAGGGGTGTTTTTTTTTACATTTAAGTCGGTTCGATTCCCAGACGAGGCAAGTAATTTTTAGAAAATCTTTGAATGCAGAATTACTAACTTTTAAAAATAACATAAAGTCTTCTTTTAGTAAAATACCCTATCTACGATATTAAAGGTCCCTTCATGTCCCATAACTTTGGGACGCCTTGTATTGGTAGGCGGTGGTATAATCTGCCATTTCATAGACTAGCGGACTATCGAAAGTGTACGGCACTTATCTTTTATTGAATATTGTCTAAAGTACTAATAACCTGTGTTACTGCCGTACAGATAAAAGTCACCGGAAAATGACTCTTTTCAGAGTGAAGTAATTTACCCCATACACCTATGTGTTACACGAAAAATGTACGGCATCCTGGAAAATATTATCTATTTGTGAAGTACTCTCAAGATCATTTAATTTTATGTTGTTCTATATCATCATCACCTATATGCTAATCAGACATATGTTGCGACCCTTGGCTTTCGACCGCTCCGCTGGAAATATGTACGGTGTTTACGGGTAAAGTATCTGTATATGTGTCCAAAAGGAATTACACAAATGCCGTACAGTAATAAATTACCTATATTGCTTCTGCAACTATCGTCGAATTAAAAATTTGCACCGACTTCCGGCACCATCACTTTAGTACGGCACTAGGTTTTTCGACATTTATTTTTAATCATCTATACACTTATAACAAAGCCGTACATTAATAATTAGTCGAAATTCCTCCTTCGTATCTGAGAAATTCCATTCACTCACGTACTCACATGTACCGCTCAGAAATGACGGCATAGTGCTCAGAGTTATTTTCAGATATAGTAACAGCCTTCTAAACGTAATTCACGTTGGGTCATTTCACAGGTATTTTTTGTTCATGGGCTTGTGGTCTATAAACAATACCTATCTAAAATTTTCACTAAGCTTGGCTATCTTGCCAACAAACAATGGACTCTTTAGCTAAAACATTTGAACTTAAGCCGGATTCCTAAATGACCAAAAGTAACATTCCTAAATTTACAAAAATATCGCGGATATCCTACATTTGTCAATATAATAATAATATAATACAGTTGTTTTTTGAAGATTTTATTCATTTATCGAACGAACTGTCCTAATGACAAAAAGTCTTTTCTCCATAAATTCAATTCATGTAATTGTCACTGACACTTGACAGTGACAATTGACTAAAGTCAACGAAATAGTTGCCGCCGATCGCCGTTGACTAGAAGTAGGTAAAAGTAAAAAGTGAAAATTATAAACCGCAAACTCAGGAATCATAAAAGAGAAAACTTAGTTGATTTTATAGGTGCAAAATATTTATATTTAGAAGTGCTTTACGATTCATTTTAAAGTCTGTATAATGATGTCAACAACAGAGGGGGAATTGGACGTAGAAATATCTCAAGAAAAGGAAGATGGCGAGGTTAGAGAACTTGTTAATTATTAGGACTTGAGCTACAACTTAATATGTTAGTTCTAATTTAAAGAGCATTAAGTAATTAAATTATTATGAACTTAGAAATATTAAGTTAATGCTTTCTGAAACAGTATCATAAATATATGATTTTAATGAGTCTGGCGTTAGTAGTGTTAATATTGATGTTTGCAAATCATTGTTATAGTTGGATGACTCTGATGTAGAAGAGGGCACTTATATACCCTTGGAGCGCCCGGAGGTTTTTAACCCGCCATCACTTGTAAATATGCAAATACAAGATGAGCAAAGTGATGAAGCTTCACTTGCTGAATCTTCAGGCTCAGAGTCAGATGAAGAGCCAAGACGTCGTCCGAAACGTACTAAAGTGAGGCCACGACGCCCACAACAACAACAATCTGGCCGCAACAATAAATACAATATATGGTGCCAAACTTTACAGGTTATTATTTCTTCATATACATTTTCACACCCTAAATATTTTTCAATCATTATAAACTATATATTTTAAATTTACAGGAAGACCTCTTGACTGAGGACATGGGCACTTGTGATGTTTCAAAGAAAAGCAGATATGGCGTTGAATCTTATGATTACACTATTAAGTATAGATTAGATGATAAATATATTTCTAAGAAAGTATTTTCTAGTAGTGATTATAACCAGACAAATAAGAGAAAGTATTCAGACAGATCCAATGTAAAGTTAAGATTGGGGAAAAGAGTTAACAGCCACCAGCCAGTAGAGGAGAAGCAAGAGCCAAGATTTCTGCCAGACCTGGTTGTCACATCAGAAGATTCTATTGCTAACCTTGCAGTAGATATTGCTGAAAAGCTGGCTGAAGAAAAGAAAGATTTAGTTGGTAAGTAATGTACTGCAATGTAATCTTTATACTGATACTACTTGGTTAACATTCGGAATTATAGTACAGTTTCATACACATTTCTTGCTAAAGCATAGATCTCTTGGGTAAACACTGGAACTATATTAGAAGAATAAAGTTTCATATTTATATGAAATCTTGGCTTCCAAAACAAATTGTGAAGTGCAATTAACTGACTGATGTATGTATGTATGTAACATATTACACATGACAAACATACAGCAATGTAAGAAAAATATTTGCTGAGTATTCTATAATACATTTTCTTCTTTACAGTTAGAATTGTAGAGGTGCTTGGTGCCAGTAAAGCAATTGAAATATATGAAGAGACACAAAAGGTTGAGGCTGAAGGAGGAATGCTTGTAATGGTATGTTTATTGAGATACATTACTTTAAATATTTGTCTATTATATTTTTCAATTTATATTTTAAAAGTCACATCTATTAATTAATAAATAATGAACAGACCATTTACCAGTATCTCATAAACCATCTCACATTTCAGAATGGTACACGTAGACGTACACCAGGCGGAGTTTATTTCTTTCTGTTAAAGAAACATGATGATGTGTCACACGCTATGATTAATCAGATATTTAATGAAGACCGTAAAGAAACAACTCGAAAAATTAAAAAGACGCGCGCTAAGAGTCGTCAAAAGGTTATGGAACAATTAAAACAAAGTCTAACAGGTAATTTTTATTCAGATTCAATTATGAGTAATTTTCATACCACTGTGAATTACACACATTAACTACAGTTAGGAGTGTGTAACAGCTTTGTCTATTTTGGTATCTACAAATACGAGCTTATGAGAGTTTAAGTGAATTAATATAGTACTGTTTTTAAATTTCAGATTCTGAACTACCATCTCTTCTTTCAAGAGGAGAAGCAACCATACAAACTGAACATGGTTCAAATCCACCACCATCTCCAGCGACAGATGCTCGAGAATGTTCAAGCGACACTGATACTCATACAGAGCACGAGCAGCAACCATCACCAATTAGGCCCTCATCACCAATACCTGACACTCGACCGATACAAGCATATGATGATGACGACTATCTTGAAGTGATGTGTAATGATGATATGGATATGCTCTGAAGTGTTGTGATATGTGATTAAGTGTTGTTAATTATGAGCATGATTTGGTATTATGAACGTACCATTAAAAGTGCTAGATGCCTAAATTATAAATGCAATAGTGCATTAAATAGTTATGATATGCCTCAAATTGCAAATGCAAATAATGCAATTTAAATTTAGTAGAATATATTTATTTTACAAAAATGGCATAATTGTAAAGTAAAACCAGTCAAATTTATTTCAAAGTATTTGGTATATTTCATGTACAAAAATTTTCCTATTTGCTTTGAGGATAATGATAAGCAACAATGATCTGACTAGGTCAATGATATAGGGTCCTTCAGACTATGTTGAAGGAAATAATTAAAAAGGCTGCTATTTGTCATTTTTTCATGGCTTGAGCACCAATATGGAGACAACCTTATTTAAATAACTTTGTTAATTATTAGATCTTTTTAGTCTTGGTATGGTCATTATCAATCTAGGCTATGTTGTGCTAGGCCATTGATGATTGGATGAAATGAGTAGGGTATTGTTACTGTGCAACTATCAGGCTGTGATTTTTCTACTGCGGCCCATTTGCCTGCCTTAGAACTAGTTGTCAAGTGTATTTGTACTTTGTTACATGTAAAAATAAAATGAATGAAGCAGTAATATTACATGTCTGTCTATTATGTGTATTATATAATGTGTACCATAAGGAAGGATTAAATTTGAGACACAACACTACTTTTAACACTATTGTTTTCTTTATTCTAGATTCTATAAACAATCTAATCTAAATACTCTTACTAGAGCTCTATGATTACAATTAGTAGGTATATTGAATATAGAACCTGTGAACAGTTAAGCCATAAAATAAATAGTTACATTTTGTATGAGAATATTGATCGATATTCTTATTTGAAAAATAAAAAATTAACTATGGTCATTGTTTTACAAATTATTTCCTCAAACTGTTGCACAAATGTTTTATGTTAATCATTAAATTGTTTTTCTTTGTTTATGTTTATTTACGAAATAAATAAATACATAAATATGTGTACAGTAAAGTATTATAGGAACTCATTATCAAAGAAATCACATTTTTTAATGAAAATTAAACACATTCTGTCATTTTGAATGTGAAGACCTATATTATATATATTAGTAATAGAATTTTACACATTTTTATTTAACACTACAAGCATGAAATTATTTTCAAGTAATTTGTGTTAAATAGGAATGCAATACCATAAAGAATTTCATGTTATTTTGTTATTATTTAAAGTAGTGAATTTAGACTAGAGGATAGTTCCTTATATAAGAATGAATAATTTGGTACTGTATTTGTAAAATGTATCTTGTCAAATATAGTATTTTTACAAGCTTTTACTGTTACTGAGTAGTTTATGTACAGTCCTACTGTTAAATAAGAAAATAAAATAAAGTTTTAAAAAAGCTTGTTTTGTTTACATATTTAAAACTTTAATCACCTCATTTTATGTAAATAAAACTACAAATTCCCACATAATAATTTATTAATTGGGCTCCTTTCTCGATTATTAACAAAAATAAGTCATTTTCGAAAATATATTCTCAAAAATAAATGAACATGTTCTATGATAATGGCACATATTGGATGTGATGTGTGTAAAAAAACCTATGAGAAAGTTTGAAATTTTTTCACAGTTAGGGAAAGTCCAGCATCTGAAATGAAGGATATTTTTATTTTACATTCTGTCCCTAGAAACCACTTTATGTAAGAGCAATACTAACCAGCTGTGGTAAACATTTTTCTACATGCTCAATGTCAACTTTGTCGCAGTTTTCTTTCAATGCTTGGCTAGATGCCCGAAGGCAAGTTTCTGTGACGAGACACTTTGCCACTTCCACAACCAATGTTAGAGCATCATTACCAAGCTTTGTTTTATTGTCTTGAAATGATCCATGTAGAAGCTCTTTTATAATTTCCTATAACAGCGTCACATATGTAGTTAAGCCCCAATTAAATGGCGTATTACCCGTTATATATTTTGAATGCAGTACGTACCTGCTTTATATTATTTTTAACGTTAGAAACTATGCTTGCCGGATCAATATTACCATCTCCAGTCTCGTTACTATAACGGGCCATTATAATTGTTTATCTATTGATTAACGAATAATTTCTAAATATCGAAGTACTTAAATCAATACTTTAATATAATTTATTTAAAACAACATTTAAAAAATATAAACAACCCCATAGACCATTGTCGGAACGACATCTATCTACTGTCAAGTGTCTGACTCTGACTCTGTCATGTCGTGAGAAAATGTAACAGTCTATATAAGCGAATTAAATTTTCATTGACTCTGTGCGAGAATAGAGCGTCGTGGGATTTAGGTTGCTGCATTTTTTTTGCTATGTTCAATGTTCGCAAGATTGTTACGTCATAATTCGAGTGAATAAATGCATGGCAAAAAATTATATTAAGTAGCGTACTCTAACATACTATTGTCCAAGCATTGCGAACACCATTACCTACAGTTTATTAAACTTAATAGATATGAGCTATAATCGGGGGTTTTAATTTTAAAAACTAAGTAATGATTTGAATAAAACTATAATGTATCATTTCAATAGTACTTGCAATAAATACAAAATTCTAGCTCTAATATCAAACAAGGACTTCTTTGTAAGTTTTTTTGCAATAATCTGTGGAATATTCTTTTTTTCAAGTATCTCAACTATCTCATCAATCGAATTTTCTATTCTCTCTTCTGGGTTCAGCTGTATAAGAACTTCAAGAATTAATTTATCTTCTTCTCTCCCCCATTCAACATCTATTGTCCTTTCTTGATCATAATCACTTAGCGGATCTACCTCTGTCTTTAGTTTGTTTTCATCAATTGGGATAAATTCTTCTTCGATAATATCACAAATTTTATCATCGCTTTTTTCTTCCTGAAATAAGTGTAACAATAAGTTCCTTACGATCTTCTTATATCTTATTCTTCTTTCTTTTAATATTTTATTAATACACCTATGTATACCATATACTACGTTTTTTATGGCAATAACTTTATGCCAGTTTCCATATGCTACGTTACAAATGTCTGAAATCACCACAGACTCACGCGACTAATATATTTAGGAATGTTTCTAATGTGGAATGCATTTGCAGAAAAGGATATCGTTTTAATAGACCTGGAATGCTTAAGTTATTGCGAAGAAATATTATAATTAAAAGGGGACTAATGTTTTACCGAAGTGTTTCGAATATATGCTGTAATCTTACGCATATAAAATACTCTGGTAATAAATACACTCAAGATAAACACTTATATTCCGTTGAATACGTTATTTTAGATCGGGTTTAAAAAATAACTAGTTTTTCTTTAAAAAAACTTACTTTTATATCCACCAATGGCTTTTCCTCTACATCGTCTGCATCATCATTACTTTTATCACTGTAAAAAACATGATAATATTAAAACTTTTTTTTTATCTCAATAAATTTATTCTCATCTGGGATTAGTATAAAAGCATTTTTAAATATAATGCAACTTGCATATGTAAGTTATCAGTAGCTTAATTTCTTAATTTGGCCCTGGGTTTGGTTCCATTAGTAGCAAAACATAAACTCCTTATATATTTACAGTCAAAACCGTTTACGACGACATCATTTAGAACAACATACCGGTTATATTGACCAAAATCAAAGGTCCCGGCTGAATTCTATTGTATTAGGTTCTTAATAACAACGTCATCGGCTGTTACGACTATCGGTTTTTACGACCAAATATGAGTAGACCCTTCGGTGTCGTTATATCAGATTTTGACTGTAATATTATTATATTTATTACTTACCTAGAAAGGCAGTTAACACCAATATTATCTTCACATATCATTAATGCCCCTTGTTCAGTTTCACCCCCATCACTATCGTCTGATTCATTCATTTCTTGGTCTTGATTTTCTGTTCCACTTTCATTTTCGTTTTCTGATTCACTATTTTCATTACCTGCTTCTACTTCTTCATCATTACCATCATTTTCTTGGCTATTTATTTCTTTATTTTGAATTTCGCTGCTTAATTCATCTTGCGTTTGATCTGAGGCGATACTTTCTTGTGGGTCAACAGCTTGTAAAGCAACGACTTGTGCATTTATTTTGTCTTTGTTTAAAACCGTAATTTGAGAATTATTATTGGATCTTAATATCCCATTATCGTTGCTGCTTAGAGATTCATTTGGTGCTATTTGAGTTTGTGGCGATGTCTGTTTGGAATTACTCCTTAATTCATCACTTGTCACGATGCGCCTAAAGTATAAATGTAAAATGAATTATCATATTTAATCCACATTAAAGTATAATTAATAATCCGTCTTTTCTATCGTCTTCAATTGTTTTAACTTAGAGCAAAAAGCAATATTAAATTATATAACAGTTGCAATGTATTTTAAAACTTCTACTATTCATGGTTTAAAAAAAACTTACGTCTTTAGTTTGCAAGTAAAATAATTAGCCAATATTGGACGAAATTCTACGACAACCAAATATTTAATAATATGTATGATTTAATTCTAAGAAAAAAATTCAAATATAAATTTGAAAAGCAATAAGTTTGTTCTATTTCTAAATATGTTTTTTGATACGTACACTTTCCTTCGATGTGGAAATAATGAGAAACAATATCTTGCAAGTTGTGGGTATTGCCGCATATTGTCCATAAGATTCGTGCACATCACACACGACAACGGACTGTTACGAGATAACGTAGACAGGTACTTCAAAATGTTAATTTTTTTGCTTTTATCAGTGACAATTTCCTGAAAAAATCATTTTTAAAAATTATATTTCTCAAAAGTTGTAGCACTCAACGTATCTACTTATAGTCGCAAAGACTGATTGTATGATTAATAAAGGAAAAAAAATTAATAATAATTGTATTTAATAAATTATTTCTATATCAATTCAACATATATTAGGCAACCCTAAAATTTCCTATTGGACATATGTTTATGACGCAAACAACTTGAAATTTAAAATTCAATATTTTTTGTCCATGGAATATCTTATGGATGTAGACTCTGTGTCTGTAAGTGTAAACAATCGGAAGTGCATCGTGCGAATTTTATACAAATTGCAAGGGTAATCGACAGGTTCGAACTGTCAAAGATTTACAATAAGGCATCAAAGTATACGAATAGGTGACACTTTCTCTTGCCTGTTCTAAAAAAGATAAATTCAAGCCAGTGGCGTAACTATACCATCTGGGGCCCGTGGCAAATCTTTTGATGGGGCCCTATCAGTAAAATTGTCCCTACTCAGTTTAATTATGTGTCCCACTAATGGCCATAGGCCTCCTATTTAAGGCGAGAGGGAATGGACTATAGTCCCCACGCCAGCCCAATGCGTATTGGAGACTTCATCCATAGAACATAATATCTCTTGGACAGGAACTCTCTTGGTCGGGGCCCGTGGCGTTTTGCCAGCCCTGCGACCCTATTGTTACGCCACTGATTCAAGCCATAACTTACCTCAGTCTTCTGAATCAAGTCATCCATAGCATTGCTTATAAAATACTCTCGAAATTTATCAATTTCGTCTGCTTGTTCGGGGTTAAGAAAACCCAAAAATTCATTATACGTGTCGGCTAATTCCACGTCGCAAGCTTTATAAATATCGTCCATTAATTTAATAGGATCGTCTCCCTCTGAGTTAAATCGAGACAGGATTGTAAACAGAGCTCTCTTTGCCTGTGTATTTCTAATTTTATTTTGACGCAGGGATAATCTCATTAGAAATGTTCTTACAAATTCTGCAAAGTAAAAGATTTCAATATTATATTTTATTTAATAAAAATAATATACACAATGTTCAATATTAACTTCCCGTATGCCGAGTCTTAAGTGTTAAACAATGGTAAGTGGAAAAAAAAGGGTGCATGTGGTACTTATGTACGCGCGTAAGAATTTTTACTTCTTTGGCATTATTAAAAATAATTTTTGATTGCATGCAAATAGTTAATTACAATTAAATAATCAAAGACTGGATAAGAAGTCATTATAGTCAATAAAATTCAGTTTACCTTTGAAAAATTAAATAAATAAATATTTATTATTATTCTCTTACATAAAGTGTAACATAAATTCTATTATTATTCGAATGTTGTTTTTAAATTATGTCCAATGCCGTAGCATCTTCCGTGGGCTTCATTCTGTTAATTTTGTGTCACGGTGCGCGCGCATCGTAAAATTTCACTCTCATCAATTTTTTATAACGCACCTAAAGAAGTATAACTTCAAAACATAGTAGACAAGAAAGTGACTTCCCTTTAATAAAGACTGTAAGTTGTGTTATTGGACACTAATTTATTAAAGAAATCTATGCCTAAAAATATATTTTTATATTATTGACACAAAACAGTCACAGATTAGTCTTTTCGACGATTATGTAGCATGCTTGTCTTCGCCTGTCTAATCTTAATACTGTCTTAGCGTTTAACTTTGTCGAAGTTAAAATATGCGTATTTGAATAATAGTAATTAACACGTGAAACATACGTGTTTATAAGCATAGTGCAGGGTTTACTGCGACGCCATCTTGCTTAGAGAAGCTTTGGCGAGTTCTTGACATTATGAATGTTCAATTTGTATTTCATGCCTTGATAAAATTGAAAATAACAATTGGTTCAACCAATAAATAATAATCTGAAATGGATTTTAGATGTAGTCAAATAGATTAACCTTTATAAATTCATGCATTACAACAATCACTGTGGTAGTTATAAGCATAGACGATTTGGCGACAATATTGGAAGACTTAAAAAGTTTATCGTAAAGAATTAAAAAAAACTTGTTTTAAATAGTTTCTTTCTATTAAAAATAATCTTACCTCGATCTTTGGCCTCAGTGAGTCTCTCCTCTGCTTCTTTAGCTATACCTAATTTACAAACGCCCGGCTTTTTAGCCGCTTCGATCCTACTTTTCAAATCAGTAAACACATTCTTAGAACAATTTTTATAATAGCTCAACAATATTTTCAATCGATTCGTAATTTTCGGATATCTTATACTCCGACAGGGACACTGCATTTTGACAACAAACTTCTTCACATATTCAGTTATTCTTTTCTGTTTATATTTCGATATTTTTCTTAATAGCTCACAACACGAGCAATGTACCGTGTCCATTATAACTTCTGGATCTTCTATTGGCTCTAATTCGTTTTCCGGGTCTATTTCGTTTGTTGTTTGGTCTATTACTATATCCACTCTGTCCGGGTTAGCCGGTTTAACCGGATGCAAGTTTATGCGGTTAGAAACGATCTCTTGTGTGAATTGTATAGGTAATGGAGGCTTTGGTTCTTCAATGATATCGGATTGGGATATTTCAATGCCTTTTGGCGGTTGAAAATGTGTTGGACGTTTCTTTTGCAAGTGTTTCTATAAAATTACATAAAATTATGTTTTCGCAAAACGGAACCAGTGTGTGTAAAATAGTTATATATAACAACATTTTTATGAGCGTTAGTTAAAGGGCATATCTTAGAAACTTTAAAAATAATAAAATTTATTTTGTGCTTCAAAATCTATGCCAAATATTGAAATAGGTGAATCATGTTTTTTCAGTATCTAAACAATTATAACTTCTAAAAATAGAGAATGTTACTTATTTAAAGCAAAAAAATTATAATAAAACAACAATTAACATACAACAAGATATTTACAATTGTTCCATGTGCAATCGTATTAATACGGATTATTTGCACAATTTACCAATGTTTCGGGTTTTACCACAATGCAATCTATGATGTGAGGAAATATTAAAAGACTTTGACTCTATTTAGCAGTAGAAATTTTTTTAAATTGTCGTTTGTTTAATGTTTAATTTCAGTTTTCTTTTCTATCTATCAATGTACTTATGTATTATTGTATTTCATACATTTTGTTTATCAATATAATCTGTTTTAGTTTTAAAAAAATTCTAAGTGGTTTCTTTAAGAATATGGACGTGTAACTGTAAGATTACTTATAACTAAATACTGATTTTTAAACTTCATCTAACTTACCCTAAATCTCTTACTGCTTTTCGCAAGGTATCGTACCCAGATCGTTGGTATTTCTGATTCAGGTTGCTCATACAATGTCAGTTCTGCGTTAAACGGAATCAAGACATGCTTAGTTTTAGGTACTTCTCGTGTTTTGAAGTATTTCTGAAAAACGCCCGAATTTAAAGTACAAGATGAAAAACTTTACGATACTTTTGTCAAGTTTGTTAAGTTTATTTCTTTATTTCACAACTGAAAATACAATTTATTTTTAAAACTAAAACCTCACAAGTTTATACAAACAATCGCTAATATAAAAACATATTGACGCGCATACATTTTTCTTTAAATGTTATCTTCTTAATATATATAAATTACGTGTCACGTTGTTTGTCCGCTATAGACTCCTAAACTAATGAACCGATATCAATCAAATTTGCACACCGTGTGTAGTTTGATCCAACTTAAAAGATAGGATAGCTTACATCTCAATTTATACCCGCAATATTATTTTATTGCAAATATTTGTTTATTATTTGATACAATTCTAACAGATGGCGCTGTGTTAAAAGTGCCAACGTTTCACATAAGTTCTCCTACCGTTTCCCTTGAATAGTTTACTACTATGTAATATAACAAAAACCTTAGCCACAGCAACGCTTGGCCGGTCTGCTAGTTTATTATAAAAATAATGTCACTTTTTGACATCTCAGAAATGTGTACGTATAACATTATTACTATCTACTTTAACTTATACGTTAAACTACTCGATTTGATGATCGTTCGTGTACTAGTATCAGAAAGATTAATATAGACCTATCTCACTTAATAAAACTATAACAAGAAATTGGTTGTCTTATCATGCGTGTACTGATGTATTCTGGCATCGCTTTCCGATTAAACAATTTTGCTTTTTTTAATTGGCACAAAAGACCTTTTAATTCGATCAAATCAGACAAGTGCATTATCTCATTGCGGATTTAAAAACAATCAAACTAATATGTTGTTCTATACTGCTTTCGAAATTTGTCTATGGTAAGTCTTTATTGTAGAATTTAAAAAACAAATTGTTAAAGGAGAAACCTTATAACCTTTTTCATTTTCTTAAAAAAAACTTAAATATATTTTTTTTCTGTCAAACTCAAACGCAAATTCATATAGGTAAACAAGTACACTTATAAATCGTCATAAAGAAGTTAAATTAATTGAAAATTTACATTGACTACCAGTTCGCAAGTCAAGGGCGCAGAGCGGGTAAGAAGAACTGGCAAGAAACTTTCCGCCACTCTTTTTAATCGCCAAGTTTTGGTATACAAATTGTTTGAACTGGAGCAAATCCCAAGAATTAGGATCATTTAAGTATTCGTCAAATTTATAAAAAGCTTATTTACGATTGTCAGCCCTGATGTTAAGAAGTGTTAGGTTGGACTTACGGTAATTATGTGATCAGTCTGTTTGTTCTTCCTTACTGCAGAAACATGCCCTGCTAAGGTCTTAGGGCTTATCCAAGGGAACATATACTTGCACACTAGGTCTAATGTGATTCCTATACCCCACCTATGACGCATGTTTTTTATCGGCGGAGGCGGATACAAATCCGGATTCGCTTCTACGTAGGACCAAAATTGGTCTATCCCTAAGATTATTAATCTGAAATAGTAATATTCCCTATACTCCTGTTCCGATTTCGATCCTTTAATTTTCATTTGTTATTCTATGGCTATTATTATGTATAAGAACTAGCAGGAATACTTATAACAAATTAATTAAATTAACTGGATGTTTTTTATTATTGAAAATTGTCTCGGCACAAAGACATCATTTAACATTACAATAACTACTAATAAGCAATTTAAAACTATTTACTTCAAGGGATATTTAACATAAAAAAGTGTCCAATAACAATACTTACAGTCTCTATTAAAAAGAAGACACTCTTACTGTCTACTATTCTAAGTTGTTGAGATGAGTAAAAAATTTCCTCGAATCAAGTTTTAATGAATGTATTACTCGCGTGTAATGTTTTATATGATTTAATGTGGTGTGTAAAATAAATAGGTTTTTGACTTACTTATCTTCAGAAGGTAAATAACATGTTCGCCTCTTGATTTCCACTCCCCGATAGGGCGTGGCAGGTAACAAATAAGGGTACAGGAACACAGAACTATTAGCGGTCACTTTTTTGAATTCCTCCGGGAAATCTCCTGTGTAGTAATTCTTACCCATGCTTCTTCGACGACTAAACAAAAAAAAATATCTATAAAATCAATCGAAAAAAATAACAGCGTATATCTATTATAATTATTACAGAAAAAACTGTAGAGTGCTTAATAGCGATATTTAAGTGTATTCAGCAATGCAGATTAAATTTATATTTTCTAGAAATACACATTAAATTATTTTTACATTACTTAAATTGTAATTGTAATTTTACTATTTAAAATCATCTTAACTTAATTTTTATACAATAATTAATCTCACCATTTATCCGCTTCGGATTGAATGAATCTGAAATTAGACGCAAAAATGAGAAACAAGATATTCTGAATTACTATACATTATTTAAAATAATAAAAAAATCAGTACAGTATCAAACACATAATTGAAATTCTAGAATTGCCACGCATTCTTGGGTTATCAAACCGTAAATAATGCTTACAAATTTAAAAAAAAAGTGGGTATTCATTCTCTTCGGCGGACGGCTACAGCTACTTAAATAATTTGTTTCTTTAATATTTAAATGATATTTTAAACACTTGTTAAGAGCCCATTGCATACATTAAAAATGTTCAATGCTCAGAAATAAATTTGCACCCTCATAATTTTTAAGCCTACTTTTGACAATTGACGTGTGCCGCTACGTGTGTGTGTTGCTTGTGCCACACGGTACAAGACCTGGGTTGATCACGAAACAAATCCGTTGATCGCGCAATCTAATCCGAATAAATTAAAATCCACCACCACGTTACCACTTACTGAACCATCTTCTTATTCTCAGGCGTATCTTTTGAGACGCAGTCTTCCCAGCTTTTGACCAGTTCAAGAGCAGGCGACAAGTTACACACTCTTGCGACTGAATTTTCCTGTTTTTCCACCATACCTTGTAAGGTTTCCTGCAAAATGATACAATGAAGTTGTAAAAATAAGATTTTAGCAGGATTAGCCTTTTCGATGTATTACCCGGCGAGAGTTACAGTGCCACATACTTTTCTTGGCCGGCGACTGAAATTTACCATCTACCAACATCTAATAAAAATCCAACTAAAATGTATTTATTTTGGTTACTTGCATTATTAATTACAATGGCAAAGTTTTAATAATCGAACGGTTCTGATTGCTAGGTATCTTAAAAGATAGTATTGTCTTTTATTGACATAACTTTCACACATTTATAATAAAATAATTTTTTACCAGATTGAAGTTATGTATTTACAATTATTTTAAATTTATCCGACGTTTCGCGTGCTTTACAGCGTGCGTGGTCACGGTGACTGAAGACAAAAGGTGTTGAATGTAAAAAAAATATCACAGCTGTAGAAATAGTTGTATTAACTGTATTTGTTTCCCTCCATATTTTAGTCGATACCAACTCCGGGGAATGAAACGAAAAAAATCTAAAAAAATCACTTGCCAAAAAATTTATTAATAAAATTAAAACTTACCAAATACTCTTTATATTTAGGTGCGTATGTCCAGTATGCTGGATTGACAAAAAGCAAAAGAAAATTCGATGTCGCCATTTGTATGTGCATGCGCAACTGTTGTTGAAGTATCAATATTTGCTCATCTGTTATCTAAAAAAAGATAGTTTTGTTGTATTCTCTTAACTTTTTTCTTATTCACTTGGTCGTAACGTGATATATAGACTTATAATGATAATTAATACGTAAAAAAACTTGACGATTGTTTCCGTGTCCGTCCGTCTTGCCTAGAGAAGCGTTTCGTGGGGTTAAAATTATGAATGTTTAAAGCCCTGTATACTAAACACATTTAAAAATATCTATTTGATTGGTTCTATAGTCCCTGGCAAAATATTTATTCAATTCCAAAACCGTAGTTTTGGGTTTTACTGAAATTAAATATTTTTTTAAAAATATGCATATAAAGAGGGTACAAATAATTTTTTTTATAAAGCAGTGCTGTCCTGAAGCTTGTGGTCGCAGGTTCGATCCCCTGCTATGCACCAATGGACTTTCTAAGTGCGCATTAACACTCGCTTGCTTTACACCCAAAAAGTCAACAGCCTGTATCAGGCACAGAAGGTCATCTTCATCAAACAATTTTTATCTCACACCAAATCTAGCAAAATATATGAACTCACCACATCGTCTTCAATAACAACCTTCAGTGTGTTATCAGGGGTTGCGATGGCACTTCGAACAGCCGGCGGGGGTTCTACCACTTCCATTGGCTCTTCTACATGTTCCTCTCTCATGTGCACTGTTATTGGTCCTGCTCTGGTTAGATGGTTCCAAAACATTAAAAGGAGCCATAGATTTATTTATATATTTTGTTTATGGAAATAATAGTAGGTGCCTAATATCTTCATTGGCAAGATTTTAATATCATTGAACAAATTTGGTGAATTTAGCGACTTTATTAATGAAAAAAAATTACTTTATGTATAATAAAATAATTATATAATATGTGCATAACAAACATTAAAGACAATAATAACTTTTTGGTAGATGGAATTGGGCGGTCTTACTACAGACTAAGTTTTTATAATTGTGCTATTAATTATTCATATTAAATAACCCTAAAACTCAGGCACAGATGGCTGATCACCGACTTGCGAATGAAGAAAAATAATGACCACAAAACAGACGCAGAAATCTGAGGCGCGGACCTAAAAGGTGGCACTGGTTTTTTATATACTCGGCGTTGTTGTACCGTATGCCCCAGCCCATATAAATGCCCCTAATTCACCATGCCTATTGCTCATAGAGAACATTTGTTTTTTTATTAATTTATGGATTATTACAATTACATACTACAAATATTTTTTAAAACAAATTCGTTTTTATTTTGAAGGAGAGCTTTTTTGCCATTTCTCTTGATTTGAAAAATGGTAGTAAAGATATTTTTTCAATTTGTATACATACATAACAATATCACCAATATCTTCGTTTTCCTCGTGTTCTGTCTTTCCAATAGATAGTCTTGGTGGATCATTTTTCTCAAACTGAAGTCTTTTGGAAGACCTATCCTCGTCGGAAATTGGTTCTTGCTTACCTTCCCATATGGACGACGGCTAGAAATTGTTTTACCGTAAACGATTTATTTAACTGTTATATAGAGTCTGGCTAATGAAAGAAGATAACGAAAAAGCGCGGCAAATTAAAAAAAAATAGTATGGTATCCCTAAAAGTTTGATACATTTTGTGGATTAAACTTACTTTATACTTGATTTTATTTTATTATTTTTTACATTGATAGTAACTGTATTTCTATGAAATTAAATACTATACGTATTTAGTCTTTTATTATTGATAGTTAAAATGACTAGCATTGCATGGAAAACTAAAACTACATTTATTATAAAACATAACTTTATTCGGAATAATCAAATCCTGCGAAAGAAACGAAATATTCTATCAAATAAAACAAGGTTTAGGCTATAATACCTGTTAACTATTCGGAAAAAATTATGATAGAAATAAAAATGAGTAATTGCATGAAATATCAAGACAATAAATCATACTAACCTAAGAAATTTAATGACATTCTGTGTTGCCATCCGAAAGTGATCAAATAACTCAATTATCTTCTTTCATTTAAGCCAGACTCTAGTAAAAAAATAGTGTCTACAATAATTATCAGGAAATGTTATGATCGAGTCAATTGACCGATGATTTTTATCGTTGCTTTGGTTAACCATTGAGATTCCTTCTATTACTCTTAAGAATCATAATTTAGTTGATTTGTTTTGATATTAAACTGTTTCATTTTTTTATAGAACAGGAGGACAGAACAGCAAGAGGCTCATCTGATTTTAGTTAAGTGATATCGCTGCAGTGATATGGACGCTCTCAATGCCAGAGGGCTCGCAAGTGCGTTGTCGGCCTTTTAAGAATTGGTACGCTCTTTTCTTGGAGGACCCTAAGTCGAATTGGTTCGGAAATACATAGGTGGTGGTCAGCTGGTTGTGGAACGACGGTTCGTCATTGAACTCCTCGTAAACGGCTGGACCGATTTCAATGATTTTTTTTGTATGCGTTTAGATTCACAAATCGGCCCGGCAGATGGCGCTGCAGCCGGTAACTAGGTTATTTATCTATACAGCAAATAAACAGCTGCTATATATATAAATCTTCTGCGTATGTGTTCGTAGATTAACTCCTAAAAACGACTGGACTGATTTTGATGAAATTTTTTGTGTTCAAGTAGAGTCGACAATGATTTAAATTATATGGTTTTTATGTGTGTAGAGGACGTCTGTCGGATCCGCTAGTATACTATAAAAAGTGCACGCCTCCCAACAAAAGTAATAGTAGAAATTATAATTGAACTATATCAACTAACATTTAGTTATACTATATATATTTTTTTAATTTCCATATTTATTGTATAAACTATTAATAATAAGACACTTACCTCTTTCCCATTAATTTGAATATTATTCATTTGTTCGCTGTTATTCAATTGTGGAGTAAGTTCTGATTCGGGCATAACATTAAACAGTTCTGTGACCAAGTCATTTAATTCCTTTTTCGATATTTTTATCAGACTGTTCTCAAGAGATTCTTCATCTTCTTCAACTGGAAATGGAATAAGGTTCACATGAATTGATTGAATCGATAAGAATGTGGAGTAAAACTGGGGGCCGACAAGGGAGGATGGGCCATGGAGTCTGCAAGAATGCCGAAAAAACTCTTAGATGCATAAAAAATATGAAAATATACAAGTGCAACTGACATGCAGTTAGTATTAGAGTCAGTTGCTTGCTGCAGCCCAGTAGGCACATATCAAATATCAATGTGTGTTTGTATGTATTAATAGATTTTACTATTAAAAAAATACATACAAGTTCTTAGATGTAGATGTATTATTAATAATTTTGCAACTGTGTCTAAGTTGTAAGAATGTATGAGTGTAAATACAAATATGATATTATTGAATTTTACCTGCATCGGGATCAGCTGCCACATTATACTCAGGGTCGGCTTCATCGTCATCCTCATTTCTAGCATTGGCTGCTGGGTTTAGGCACTCCTTTAAGAAGTCATTCCACAAATCATCAACATCTGGGTGTGGTAAATCATCTGGCGGTACAAAAGAACTCTCTATATGCTCTATTGGAGTTTCTGATAGACTCAGTTTGGAGCGAGTACGAAGAGCTATCGTAGCTTCCTCTTCCAGATCGAGTTGTCTGCGAGCCTGGGAAACTGTCTCCTGAAATGAAATGTCCATAGGACAATCCTATGATTGGCTCTATAGCCTGGACAAAATCAAATTGGTTGCTGATTTTTTGCTTTAGCATATTTTTGTTATTATTATTTTTTTTTTAATTTATATAATGCTACAAATGTAATTATTTTTTTTGTATCTCACACACTTTTTTGTTGTGTTTTTTTTTAATATTTTTATTACTCTTTAATGTTAATATTCTAAGGTTTCGATATTTGTAAATATGTGAGGAACATGTATACTAACTTTTTTAGTATAGTAGTTTATTCTAAGAGTACATTGTCTTCACATATAATTATTTAACAAATGTAACAAAATATTGTAAACCTATTTTAAAAGAGTAAGTGTGGAGTTTCTTGCCCATTCTTCTCCACACGAAACTACCTTTTGGAAGGGGCAACTAGAATCATCTTTATATTTTTTTTTTTTGACGTTAAAAAGTGCCATTTTAGATGGTCTAATTGAAATAAACGATTTGACTTTGACTTTGAAATGTGGTTGTAATTGCTTAAGATATGTCTGTGTAACCCTATAGATAGATTAGAGAGATAGATTTTTTTTGCACTTAAATAATTTCCTTATGTAAAAAATTATATTCAAAATACAGACAAAATAACATCTTTAATAGTAGAAATTTGATTTTGATAAATTAATTTTTACATTTAAATATACTTTTACCTAAGTAGTCATTATTTACAACACACTAATATGTATTTACCTGTGGAACTTTAAAAGGTCCGTCTGTAATAACTGCAGATGCAGTTTTTGTTTGGCTTTTAGGTGTAGAAGGTGTAGCTGGGAGAGAATCAATGTCGCTACAAGTAGCATGGTCATCATCACTCTGAAAATGTCTAGATTAAGTTTTGCCTACACAGATATCACCCTACAACATATTACCCTACACTTAATATAAATTAACCTCATACATATTACTGACAATGTATTTAGTTTCAATTCAAGTTTGTTATTACCTGAACTTCATCATTAGTTGGCTGATACTCTTCATCATCTTCATCATCAGGTAGTTCTTGGGCAATGAGAGCTTTTACCTCTGGTCTGGTTTTCACGTGTATATGTTTAATTGGTGTCAATTCTAAATTCCATGGTGCTGATTTAGGTGAGGCTTTCATCAACTCCCTGTTGAGAGCAATTGTATAGTAAGTAATCAATGATTAATAAACTCTATCAAATATAATCTGTAGCTGTAATGATGTATATTAAAAATAATCATTGCATAAATTTATTAATAATACATAATATTATGTCATATAGTATTTCAATTTAACCATAGATCAAGATTCAATTTAATACAGCTTCAGGTTTATTTTACCTATTTTGACCTGTGTTGCATAATTTCTTGCATGATAATTAATATAATTGTATTATTTTAGTCTAGTTTGCTATGACAAGTAGAGTTTTGGTTTGAAAAAATAAATAGATTATTTTAACGAATAATCTAATATTATAAAACATAATATGTACAATGCCCTAAGGAGCATTTTCACTGAACTTACTTGGCTTTAGCCCTGGTGATTGGTTGCACATTTTCTCCAGCCTCAACAGTTTCTTCTTTTTCACGCATTTTGACAAAAGCCAGAACATGATCATTTGTCACCACTTTCTGTAAAATATAGAAATATGTTAAGAATTTATTGTACAGCATTTTATATACCTAAGCATATAAATAGATAGATAACATACTTTCAGTATTTTTTTCACACTGGTATCATCTAAATTATTTCTTGCAGCTGAGGCGTGAAGATTTTTCTCCATTTCAAGTGTATTATCTGGAAGGACTTCGTCCTCTGTACTAGACTCTCTGAAATGTTTCAACATATTATTTATTTCATAATAATATTAAATGAAGCATAAGATAAATTTATAAAACAATTTTTTTTAAAACAAACCGTTTTCTCTTCTTTGCTCGGCTTTTAAATTTGTTTGTTATTGTGTTATCGTCACTCGACTCGTTTAAAACATTTAGAGAAGCCTGATCAGGAGCTTCTGAATCCATTGTGTTTATACGAATATCTACTAAAATAATAATTTCATAATTCAGTCAAATAATCATTGAAAATCCTAAATTATTAACTTTGGTCTTTGTGTCTATATAATATATATCATTCTAAAGCGCCGGCCGCCGAAGCCCGAAGGTTATCTTCACAGATTAGATCTAAGAGTATATTTGTTGGTATAATATAGATATTTTCTATATATAAACAAGATACACACAGAGTAGAAGACAATTTCCAGAGTAAACTGCCATCACAGATTACAGCATCTTTATATTCGATAACCAAAAGTACAGTAAATCTAATGTAACACACAGTTCCACTTCCCGACAAAATTGGGTTATTGGAGACCTCGATACGTTCTAACAGATCTGGATGATCCAATCACCGTAGCCAATGACCAATTAAAAGCCAAAAAGCAAAATCAGATTGGAGTAAAAAACCGCCTTTACCGGGGAGAGTATGGACCTATACTAATTTCTTCGCTGATTCACTTCTAAAGCTGCCGTCCTGCCTTTCAAGTTTCAGGTGATTGGCCACCCCGCGGCGGCCCATTAGGCCAACATTGGGAATGTTCCAAAAAAAAAAACTAACACGTGAAGTCTATTATATGTATAGACACTTTCTATAAATGAAATATTCAATATTTATTGCTTGTGCAAGAGACTTCTTGTTTTGATTTAGTACGGGGAAGTTTCTATCAAGTATAAATGTTGTCCCTTCTCTTTATTCACATGGTCTCATCTACCTCTAGAATTCTTTATTTATAGACACTGAACCTATTTAAGTCTTTATTATGTAAATATTCATTCTTAAAGAAGAATCTAAGAACAAAAGCAATGAGAGAACCAGGGTCACCAGCATCAAAATAATCCATAATAATTTATACATTTCCTATGTATGTCAAGATGTCAAGCTATCATAGAAATGAATAATAAAAAATTAGAAACCTTATAGTTATTGATATATTTATTCCTATATACATTGATTTGGATAATTTAATTAAATTCTTACATCATTGCCTATATAACATTGGTCTAACTTAACCTTCATTGCTTCAATTTACGAGATGCTAGTCCATAATATTCAGAAAGTAACTGTTTCATATCATCATAACCTGACAAGTCTTGGGCTTGTGGTAAAGGTAGCCATTTGAAATCCTGATGTTCATCTGAAAGTTTCACTGGTGCTTCTGGGTCAATTAATTTTGCTAGCCAGTATATCACTTCTTTGGGTTTTCCATTTACTTCATAAGAGAGAACTTTCTTTGTGGTTTGATCAATCTGTAATGTCCACATTTATTCTTAATATTAAAAACTTAATTAATATTAACTTAAGTATGACCATTTTAATATCTCAAAATATATTTTAAGGATCATCTTTCCTTCAGTACTTAAGCTGAGAGTATATCAGAAAGGATAGAACAACTCCTTTAAATTTAAGAGTATTTCTAAATACTTCTCAAAACAGAAAATTACCTCTAAATCATCCTTTCTGTAACCAGCTTCTTCTTGTGTCTCTCGTAATGCTGTCTCCCAGTCAGATTCGCCTGGATCAACATGGCCTAAAGACAATTCAATAGTTCACATAGTAATTAGAAAATAAATAAACATTCAAAAATAAAAATACTAATTGTTGTACCTTTAGGTGGGGTCCAATGATGTATACCATATGAGGTTTGTAAAAGAAGAAACTGTATTAGCTCATTAGAGTATCTGTATATAACTAAACCTGCAGCTCGTGTCGGCGACATAATCTTGTTCTGAAAAGGAAATGCAAATGTAGTAATATGTTCTAATTGAATTACTTACATTGTTACCTTGGATTTAGCTTATTCTCCAATAGTGCTCATGTTAACAAGAAAAGGAAACAGTCGTAATAAGATTTTCTAGTTTTTTTCCGTTTAATGACTAATTACTTATACTTAAAAAAAAAAAATGTTAACTTGTGAGAGAAATATTTCCGTTCTGGTTTACCTTTTTCGTGACAGTAAATAAATCTTATTTTCGTGTGTGAAGGAACTCAAATTTACATTTGAAAATAGTAAGTTCGAATTGTAAATTAAATTGCTTAAAAAGGGGTTAGGGGAATCTACTATATAAAAATAAGTCGGGTTTTCCTTCCTGACGCTATAACTCCAGAACGCACGAACCGATTTCCACGGTTTTGCATTCGTTGGAAAGGTCTCGGGCTCCGTGAGGTTTATAGCAAAGAAAATTGAGGAAAAATGTCAAAAGAAAAGCGGGAAAATCTTAAAAAAAAAAAAATTCTTCATCTTTTAATCACCAAACGAAATGACATAAAACGAAGCCATCTGGTGGCGAAACGGAGTTCGCCGGGTTTGCTAGTACGAAATAAATAAATAAACAAATTGTTGGTGTCAATTGTCAAAATTTGTTACTTCTGACTACTGTCCTTGTGTTCTATGAACGTAAATAACGCATTTTATTTCACTATTCGTGTTATAACTCAAAAACTAAAATGTTCGGAAATGTTAAAATGCAAAATATTTTTAAAAAAGTTTTATAAGTAATATTATTAGTTCAATCATATTTTAAAAGTAACTGCTGGAGCAGTATTTAAAAAAAATTAAGTATATCTGTAGCTACTAACTGTCAACATTTTTAACGTTTCGTTGGAGATTTGAAAAAGAGTATCGAATCAAAAAAAAACTTATTTTCAAACTGCAACGGCTTGTGATCAACATTACAACATGGATTTTTTAGGAAACGGCTTCTAATTAAAAAAATTATGTGGTATTAACCTTCTAGGACTAGTGTGTAATGCGGTACAATTTGTAATTTGTGTTCACCTAATCAGTGCGAGATTGAAACAGAACGTTGACCATGTTGAAAAAGTGGAAAATTGTTATAACAAACTGGGTAAGCATTTTGATGAACATTTAATAGACTTTATTGTGATAAAGATATTATTAACGTGTTATACAGTTCGTTATAATTGGAATTTGAATAATCGTAATAACGATCCGTGTCCGTTATTACAACGGTTGGGTCTACAGGCCAGGTGCGCAGCTGTTGTCGCCAGATGTTTTGCTTGACTTTTAATCCATACTAAATTTGTAGTCGCATTTCCGTATTGAAACATCCTTTTCTTCTTTCTTTTGTTTATTTCATAATCTTTTATTTCAGATAAATTGTTACTTTAATGATGAGAAAAAAAAAGTCTTACACATTAATTTGGAAACGCTTGTTGGTATAATATCACATTTGAGGGATAATTTTAGTTTGGATGAATCAAAATCATCTTTGTTGGATGCTCACACAGTGCAAGAGTTTATAATAGAAAAGTTTCCTAATTTTAAATTTGAAAATGGATCAACAGAACCAGAGTCAGAAGATGAGGTGTATACAGCTGCTTCATTACTGTTGTATTTTGTGTGTGTTAACTCCAAAGATGTATACATTAGGAGTGCCATGTGCAAAAATCTTCAAACGGAAGATCAAGAAGTAATATTAAAGTTCACTAAATGCTTGATGGCTTGCTCCAATATTTCACTTGATAATGTTTGGACAGCTATTAAAGGTATAATACTATTTTAATATCATTTGATAATTTCTTAATACATATTTTTCATAATTAATTAAATAAAAAAAAAATATTTTAATTTCAGAGTCTTGTATTCAAGCTATTCCAGGGCCAAGCTTGGAGCAGTTTACAGTATCTCAAACTCCACCAGCATTACGTTCACTTCATAGTGAAGTGCGACGATTGCAAGCATCTTTAGATGCTGAACGATTTGATCGAAATTTTCTTCAAGAGGAGCTTAGCAGGACTAACTTGAAGCTTGAAAAACTAGGTAATTTTGAAATGTTGACAGAGATGTACTTATAGAAATTAAATTAGTGTTAATTAACATTGGGAGCGTTCAAGTATGACGTCACGCAATTGTCGGAGATTATTGACATCCCCCCATGTAACGCGCCGTAACGTTTTCTGTACCCAAGTATAGTAAAACGTTTCGTGACTACCTAGTGACTCTTTATACCTAAAAGTTACCATTATGTGGTGTAAAGTACTGGAACGTCGAAAGTCGAAAAAATAACGCCTAATTCGATCCCCGCCCCGCATTGTAACGTTTTACAAATGGACCACCTCCCCCCAAAATTCGTTACGTAATACTTGGACGCTCCCATTCCATATTAAAACTTTTCAGTCAAAGATAAAGAAAATTACAAGTTGGAAGTTCTTAATCTAAAGGCCAAAATATCACTATGTTGTGGTCAAAAAGAGGAGTCACAGATGTTAGAGCCGAAAGGAAATAATTCAACTAAATTAAAGAAGCAATTGGAAGAAACAGAGCAACGTTTGGTTAATGTTCAGGAACAAATGGATGATTTGCAACATGAAAGAGATGTATATAAGTGTAAGGTATGTATTTAACATTCTAGGTATTGATATAAATATTTATATTTCAATATTTTATTATTTAATCCATATATCTACTGACTATAGAAGCTGAAGTCTACAATTAATGTTATAAAAACTCCTTAATGTAATTTAATTCAGTTTGTATTCTTATGTAGATGTAATGACTAAACCTACTTTGTAATGGACAAAATACTTGTATTTAATTCTTTATTTGTAGTTGGATGAAACCAAACGCCAATATGATATTTTATTTAACCTGAATCAACAAGAGACAACCAGAGCTAACCAGTTAACTGAAGAGTTAGAAAATGAAAGACAAAGGACACAATCTCTTGAAGAGTTAGTCTCAGAATTACGGCAGCATAATCGTTTAAATGGTTTAGACAGTAGTCAACTGGAATGTGATGATAATGACATTAGTTTTCACTCTCCTCTGAATAATACATGTGAGTGGTGGATAATTACTATAAATTAGTCAGTTTCATTAAATACAAAATAATACATATGATTTTATATGTTTCAGCTATTTGCAGTGAAGCCTGTGCAAATGTTATTGAAGTCCAACTTGGAGAGGAGCGAGCAAAGATAGTTGTCCTTGAAACACAAATTAAAGAGTTTAAGGTAAATATTAAAAATAAAGTTAGTAATCTTTTGCCTTTAATATGAACAGGCGTTAAATCTTATTTATAAATTGTTGTATATTAACTTGACCTTTAAAATCCAATTCTTTTATAGACCAAATTAACTGAATTAAGTAAAAAGTTTGAAAATGAAAGAATAGCTTTTGGCGTCACTGTATCCCAGAAAGATACTGAAATAAAAAACCTAAACCACATTATTAATGAGGAGGTAGAAGTAAAAAATACCATGATATTACATTTTGATAATGAAATAAATAAACTAAGCAGTGACCTTGATGAGATGCAAATAAAATTAAAGGAAAGTAATGAAACATCAAAAAGAGATATTGCCACAAAGATGCAGGAAATTCAAACATTACAAGAAGAAAAACTTTCTCTCCTACAGAGTCTAAATAATGAAGTGGCTAAACTGGAAAATGTTATTAAAAATCTTCAAGTTGACATTGAAGCTGAAAAGTCCTCCAAAAATAAATTGAGAGAAGAATATGAAAAAACAATAATGTTATTGAATGACAAAGCACTCAACAGGAATAATGAGTTATTTGAATTGCAAGATAAAATTAATGAAAATGGTGAAATGATTGAGAACCTTCAAATGCAGCTAAAATCAGAAAAAGAACTTAAAGATGACATTTCCAATAAACATAATAATGATTTAATGAACCTTGCTACACAAAGGTCGGCCCTTGAAAAAGAACTGCAAAATAAATGTCGTGAACTGTTAGATGTACACATGCAGTTAAAACAATATACTGATGCTAATGAAGAGTTAAAGACAGAGTTGGAATGTGTAAAGAATAGCTATACTAAATCTCAAGAAGAGTGCAAAGTGTTAGAAGAAAATAAAGAGAAACTGCTGAATGAGATTAAAAACCGCGACACTAAAATTGAAAAATTAGAAAATGACATAGACGGTCTTGAAAGTCGTTATGGTGAAATGAAAACGAAACTGATATGTGATTTAAATGAATCTCAAGCTACAATAAACACCCTTAAAAGTCAATTACATGATGAAATAAAGTACAAACTAGGTTTGCAAAACAGAATATTCGAACTAGAAAATATTATAGCAGAGAGAGATAATACAATTACTGAAAAAGAATTAAAATTAAAAGAAATAAATGAAAATTTAGTTTGTGAAAAATCTAACTTTGAGGAGAAATTGAATCAACTGACAAATGACATAACTGAGAAAAAAACGGTCATAAAAACTCTTAAAGCAGAAGTTGAACAAAATAGACTGAAACAAGCTTCAATTTTAGAAGATTTGAAAGATAAACTTAAGTCTGAAGAACAAGAAAAAATTACAGAACAAGAAAAAAATAATTCTATATGCAAAAAAAATGACGACCTCCAAAAAGTATTGGAAGAAAAGTCTACAATCATAGCATCTTTACATGAAGAAATTAATAAATTTTCAAAACTTCTCGAAGAAAAATGCACAGGTAACGTGTTCATATTTATAGGTGTTGTATCTGATTTATTAAGTAGTCAAATGGTATAATAATCTTTTTAATGCATGGCTTTACACTGTTTTCTTGTTTAATTTAATATATGGTTGGTTTTGCAGTAATTAAACAATTTGAAGATTCTGCTGCAGTTAACAAAAAACTGTTTGATGAGTTACAGCACGATTTTAACATTGAGACATCTAAATTAGCAGTTAAACTTACTGATACAGAAAAATCACTTAAAGAACTCAAATCAAAGTCTAATTGCGCAG